CTTGAGAATTAAAATTATCTAAATACAGTAAACTCATCCAAGTAGTTCTCCTGTTTCTAAAGCAAGCCATCTTCCTAAACCTGACAGAGTGGTGCAAAAGAATTCCTGCAGCTCAACCTACTCTGGCATAAACCTTCTGCCACAGCCGTCAGGCCCCTCCCTGTTTCCCTGTCTTTGTTCCCATGGCTGACTTTAAGTGGTTTCAGTGTAAGTAAACCATGTATTTACTAGATTCACAGGCAACTAATCACTGCTGTCAGTCAAGGGAGACTCTCACAAATGATGAAATGTTACCTTTGTAATTCATCACATTTTTGTCCTGATACCCACTTATGCAATATGGAAAACAGGCAAAAACCCAAAAAAACCCAACCAACCAAAAAAAAAACCCAAAAAAACAAACCAACAAAAAAACCCCCCAAACAAACAAAAAAACCCAAAACAACAAACAAAAAAAGAAAAGAAAAAAAATGGAAAGAAAAATAAAAGGAAATAAAAAAGGAAGAATAAAGAAGAAAAAAAAAAAGACAGAATTGTGGAGGGATTAAATGCAAAGGACAAATGAAGAATATATCAAGAATTAAAAAAGAGTAATGAAATGTGGCCACATGAAGAAAGTTAGACTCAGATTGAGAACAACTTGAGATTGCAAACCAAAGAAAAAAGAAAACAGATACACCAACTGGCTTGAAGGACTAAAACTACTAGAGAACAGAAGCTCTTTTACTGCTGAGGCACTAGCAGTATTTGGGATGATTATAACTTTCCTAAATTTTTATTTCCCACTTATAGGCAATGGCACATGAAGTTCCAGCATGGAATTTTGAATTGGTTGATTTGAAAAAGAAGCAGTACTTCATACATCAGTCAGAAATCCCTGTGGTCACATATGCCATCAGTAGTAATCTTACTCCCAGATTTTTTACTGTGTTTTAGGGAGTCATCACATAACTACTGACCTTTCCTCTTCCCTCTAGATTAAATGCTGCCTTCCACAGATGCAAACAATGAGGAGACACAAATGCAATGTATGACAACAAAGCACACACAAGTGTTTAGTCTAATCATAGGAGCATTTTCATTATGAAAGTTACTCAAAATTGGGAAAACTGGTTTATGACCAATTTGCAAATCTGTTTGTTCCTTAGTCCAAACACTGCCAGTTCCCATCTGGAGGGCTGCTTGCAGGCAGGCCGCACTGCCTGGTACAAAGGCATGTGTCTGGGGTAAAGGCAATGCCCATCTAACAGTCACATTCACAACACAGGAAAAGCCCAAACTAGCAGCAGGTCATTCCTTCTATTGCCATTTGCCTTCCAGTCCCAAGGGAGATCTAGGAAAGACCTTTTCTGTTGACTGTCAAGGGTTGCATGGCCCCTTTCCTTCCCACTGCCCCTCATAAAGAGGTGCCATCTCTTGAGCACTGTGGCCTGAAGGATTGGGGAGTGGAGGACCTTCCTTCCATCAAGCTGCTGTCTTCCCCACCCGGCAAGGGACACTCCCATCAGCTGTCCTGCCCTCCACAGATGGGAATGGATACCCATAACCACGCAGAAGGTGATCTCCCACCATCAACCCAAGGCCTCACTCCAGTCCATCACCAGCATCGGCCCCATCACTGCCCTGAGTCACACTACCACCAGCAGCATCTCCAGAGCTGGAATTTGTCCTGCTGAGCACAGAGCAGAGCTCCTACAGCCATCCCCTTCTCCTGCCCATGCTCACCCAGACTGTGGCTGTGGGAGGCTGTCACAAGCCTTGCTGAAGTCAGTGCAAGTGGCAGTCACTGCTGTCCCCTGGTCCCACTTAGGACAGTCGCCTCCTCAAAGCAAGGCCCCTGCTTTTCCCAGTACAACTTGTCCTTGTGGAGCTGTGCTGGCTGGTGCCTCCAAGCGATCTTCTGTCTTCCACATCTCTGCCTTTGTACCACTAGGTTTGCCAAACAAGCTCTTGGCTCAGGCAGAGCATGATGCTCTTGTCAAATCTCTGCTCGATCCCACCACCCGATACATGCTACTGGCATTCTGCTTCTCTGGCATCCTGGATGAATAAATTTCCTATCAAAGGCCAGCAGGGCAATTCATCCCATGGTTTGCAGCAGGCAGTTCTTGGATTACACTCAGCTTCTTCAAAACTCCTACAGTGTCACCACAGCTGCATGTATTTTCTCCCACTACTCAAGTTCATTTATAATCTGTGGTATTTTGACAGAGACAGTGAGATTCAACACTTGGCTCAAAGCAGCCTGGAAAGCTGCTCTTACCCCTATACAGCTCATAAATCTATTTGTGTGAACAGAGAACTGCCACTGTATTTGCAAACTCACCATCAAAGGAGTTAGAAAAGTATTTATAAAATTTATAGCTATTTATAGTCCATAAAATAAAAAACACAGCCCAGTTCTGATGAGAGAAACTGAAATGGGAAAAGGTCTTTGTTTAAGACCTCATTGGGTAACATCTTTAAATTAAGGGATTTCAACAGAAACAAGTTGCCAATTGCCCACCTCTTCTCTCCCCCTTGCTGTTTTCCTCTGAAATAAATGGCAAAGCACACAAGGGAACAGACTTCCTTTATTACATCCAAGTTTCCTAGTGCTTTTCACAAACACATTTTAAGTAAAAGAGCACAAGCGACTAGCAACATGGAGGATGATTATTCTTATGTCATTTGGTTTATGAGCAACAGAGAGATTAGGTCTATCACTTGCCATGAGGACCCCTGCCCTCTAGACAGGACTAGTTAGATGCTGTCTTAGCTTTGTGCACATGGCATTGTCCTGGTGAAGGGTGGTGGGAGCTGGAACACAGCTGGTGATCTTTGAGATTTATTAACTGAATCTCTTTGGTCAACTTGAAAGCATGGATATTTTGAGGGTGAATTCATATTGTGCAATGCTGTCATAGTCTAATAATGAAAGCAAACTACAGATGTTTCACTATTGGATAATTCATAACACAAATGGAGCCTCTTCCATCCTACCACCAAGCACTAATATCCATTTTGCATGCCATTTGCAGATGAGGTGAAGAAGCCATTATTAGGTTCCTACCACTGCAGCAACAACTCATCTCTGAAAAGAAAGAATAGTTGCTACTTTGGGACAAAAGAAAGGGCTTGAAGTAGCAATTGTTTTTCATATGACAAGAGATTGGGCATGCATAAATTCATGAGAAATTGTTACTACACTCGTCATACTTATATACTGAAGATCACAATAAGTGTTGAGTGTAATGCAAGCTAACTGAGAATCATTAGGATAAATTCTTGGGTACAACTGAGAAGTGAGGAACTTCTAAAAATCTGAAAAGAATCATTCCAAAGAATTCAAATAAGGCACCACGTACAGGCTACTCCAATCAAATATGAGTGCCTGATCCAGGCCACTTTAATGAATACACAGACCAAGGTCCCTTGTGTATGACAAGCTGCTTCCCATTCCACATTGTCCAAATTCTCCAGACACTGGCTTTTTCTCATCATATTTGCAGTTACTGATGCATGCTGGCTCTTTCCTACTCATTTGCCTGCAGCTTCTCTAAAATGATTTTCTTTCTTTCCTCCACTCCAGTTCTGAGAAATACCTTGGGTCACCTGTGTCACATACCTGTAAACTTGTAACTGCATTTAATACAATCCTCCTCACATTGTATCCATGCCCAGACAAACCATATCCTAAGTATTCCACACTGTTCACCTCTACCCTGGGCTAAAGAGAACAATTTGTGAGACTAGTATCAGTTTCTAAATCCACTCTCACTATTCAGAAAAGATAGTGATCTTTTATAGTGAAACCATGTGATCAATGAAAACTCAATAGCAGTCACTCAAGAGAAAGGCTATTAACTTTTTGGCAGAATTCCAAATCTGTTGCTTTTTACCTGAATTCCCCCTTCATTTCAAATGACTACAGCAGTTAGCATTCTTGTTCAAGATCCTACACAACATAATACAAATTTGCCATTGTTAAAATTTAACATTTAGCAATGAGTTTGAAAAACAGCTCTAATACCTCTTCAGCTTACAGTCCACTCATGTATTTTATGTATGCAGAAGACACAGAAAGCAGTGATGTAAGAGGCAATGACTATACAGAATTCAGCATGAAGTCTGTTAACCTTGCCCAGACCATCAACTTTTTTGAAAAAGTAAACCTTGACTTAAACATCTTATTTAAAATCCAGTTTATTACATTACCAGCATGTTAGTGTTTCAAGCTGCTAACAGGCGAAAGCTGATGATTTTATTCATCTGTGATGAATGAACTTTACTGCACCACCCCAAAAATAGCTTTCCTGTGAAATCTTTGTGAACCATATTTAAAAACATTTAAAAATCTCCTTTTATTACTGAAGTACTTTAGAGCCAACACACAAAAATGGTGACTCAGCATGAAACACTGTGGATCCCCTCTGTAGGTGCAGCACAGTTGAGTTCCAAGTGTGATAAGGACAGCGCCCCCCTGGTGTTCCCTTTTATGTAATTTGCTTTATGGAGATCATGAACTAGATTTCTTTCAGGTGAAACTGAACTGGAAAATATTCTCCAGAAGCATATCTAATACATTCCAGGTACAAATGGGTGCTTATTCTCCAATATTAGACAAAATACTTTAAATTAAATAATTCTGAAATGTGTACAGCACTGGTGTCAGGTCCTCAATTTCTACTGTTTTGCTGCATGCATCTGCTCCTACTGAGCTGCACCAGCTGCTACTGCCAACACAACTCCAAACACTGCTTCCTGATGAGTTAGGGATGTCATGGATGTAGCAGTTTTACAAAACACTACTGTTTATAACAGCACAGACCTCTGAAAAGTTTTAGCCAAGTCCAATCAAATTAACAATCAAAGGGGAAAAAATCATCAGTGCTAGGTTCTTAAAAGCATTTTTACATCTCATCTTTGAAACACAAGCTGTTGCAATTGTTAATTATTTGCAGCTGAACATCAAATTTAAAGAAGAATTTTAAACAAAGGGCAAGAAATCAGTAATTTACCTTATTGCTTCCTCTACAGATTGGCCAACTATATTTGAGGAGGGACCTGGCTGAGACAAAGGTGTCAGGCTTATCACCCATTTTACTGGCTTGTAATATTCATCACTGGAACTCAACAGGTAGAACAGTGTGGTCAGAAAAATCACCTGCAAAACAAATCGAAGTTTTAAATTACAAGGTAATAAATACTTCACAGAATTAGAGTATGCAGCTATGCTTCAGATATTGAATTTTACTGAAAAGGAAGATACTCTTCCACAAGCCTGGATTTAGAAAAATAGAGCTGAAAGAATTATTTACTCCCCTGCTCCACAAAGGACTTAACATTTACAGCTAGACATTATAAAACTTCTGCCTCTGTTCAGCTCCTTTCCAAAGTCACATCTAGACCAAACAATTATAGTTGTGGGGCTTTTTGGTTCTTTTTCATCATGTTTAACAGATCAAAAAATTGCTGAATAGTTACATCTATTTTCAAAACAAGCAAACAAAACTGCCAAATACATTTGGGCTGTCTCAAGAGTCATTATGCAGCTGGGTATCAGATACGAATTACACAAAAATTCACAAACATAAATTTTATGTTAAGTTGACAATCCTAAGTGAATATTCCTCCTGTGAGTTTGATGATGAGTCTCAGCGGAAGTGATGGCAGTTCCACTGCTTTAGTTAAAAGACAAAAAAATTATATTCAGATTGGATTAGTTTCCTCTATATTGCAGTCAACTATGTTTCTCTTATCCTCCTGTTAGTGGGCTCAGCAACTTCTTGGGTAAGAATCAATCACAGAACTGTGTCCATCTTGAAACAGAATACCTCAAACAAGAAAAATCCATTCTGTATGCTCCAGATGTAAACTATGGCTTATATTTGCTTTATGTACACGACTCAGGTATTTTTCTTTTCCTCCCAAGATTAGAAAGAATTCTTTCACTTTCCTTGTTTCCAACCTACTTGTATTCTAGAATAAACCACATCTTAATCTTTTCTTTATGAGCCAAACAGCCTGATCTCCATAAGTCTCTTACTTTCAAGCATTTTATCCAGTTTGCAGACACCTCATGCTCTTTTCCTTCACTCCCTCTGAAGACGCTCAGAAAACAAAATGCAAACGGTGCTGCAATATTTCACTACCAATCTCAAAATGACATCTCTCTGTTTCTAATTTCTTTATACTCAGTAAAATGCTACTACCATTTTCCTCCTACTCTGCCCTCCCAAACTTAAACTTCAAAGTCACATTCAACTATTAACCTCTAATGACCCCCGTCCAAATTGCCATGTATTGGTTTAGGCTATATTCCATCTCCCCAGGTGTTTAACTTCCTTCTTGGGAGACAAACCAATCTAGCTAATAAAACAAGTCATTATATTAGCAGATTTTAATAGTATGCTGTTAACACTAATTTTGAGCTTAAAAAAATAATAACAATAATTAAGCCTTGCTTTTATGAGAGATAGTCTAGCACCAGTAGCAGTATCAGCTATGTTTTGCTACAGCTTCAAGTAAGAGAATCTTAGATCACATTTTAACATCCTTTGTAATTCTGAAATTATGGCTATTTTCCTTCCTTGATGGGCTCTGCCATTTCTAAGCTACTATATTTCCTGATTTCAGTAGAAAATTCTATACTGAAGCAGGAACCCAGATGATGTTGTGTCTTCCTTCCACTGAGCAGATCCTTCTGTACATGCAGTTTTCAACAGAGAGAGCAGCATATTGCCCTAAGCACAGTAAGTATAATGTCTGCTTATCCTGACTGTTCTTCTCCAATGTTTACAGAAGAAACTTGCTTTCTTAAGAGACACAAGATAGACATACCCACCTGCAGGGTGAAACCAAAGCGAGGGCTGGGAATGAACAGCAGTGGAATAAAATAGCATTAAGCTGAACTACAACACAGGAAAACTTACAAATCCTACTCAATTTCTGCTAAAAAAAGATGGAACACACAAAATTCACTTTGGAATTTTGGAGTAGCTGCCTTTTAGGAAATTAATGCATTTCCTTTAGCACAACAGATGCAGAAATGCAAAAAAGAACCTGTAGTCACAGAATATAATAATGTATTATCAAATGGCTTGGTGACTCTTCCAACGAGTAGAATAACCTCAATACTACATTCAGCAGCAAAAGATATATACTGTCTTAGAGCAACTGGAGGCTAAAAGCTTTCAGACCTCTTGTACAGGATATCTGAGGTACCCAAATTGTTTCCTAAGCAACAACTCAAGATCCTGCTGATGACTATGTGAAAGAATTTACCAACGACAAAACAGCATGACCTTTCCATAGTTAAACAATTGATGGATTACTACTTCATGAAATACACAACCTAACTGCGTGTGCATCAGGTCCATTGATTCAGTAAATATTTTTGTATCTGCTTTTAATACTCAATTTTCTGCTGAAAAGCTTCAGGGTCTTTGTTTGTTGGGAGGTTTTTGCTTGTTTTGGGTTTTCTGGTTGTTTGTTTAGTTGTATGTTTAACAGCATCCAAAATCTGTGCATTCCCTGCAGGACTGTAGATGCCCATCAGCCAAATGGAGCTTTTTCTCTTCCAATCTTAGTAACAGAAAGCAGCAGAGTGAGTGAGAGTGTACACATGTGAGTACACACATGTGCATAATTCTACAACCCCACAGAGGCATATACATACATCCATGTGCACATGTGTGCAGACAGGAACTTGTATTCAGAAATGAAATACAAGTGACACTTCTGTAACTAATGATCAGTTTTCAAAAGTCTTTGAAAATCTGAACACAATCTTACTGGATTGTGGATGGATGTGCTACACAGATTAACATTACTACTTAATTTTTTGATGGAAGTTGTATTTTTCAAAATTGAGCTTTTGAACAAAGTGTCCATTATTTCCATGCTTTAAGGAACAAATTTTTAAACCTAAAATAAAATTCAGTATTTTAATTTCTATTCAAGATAGCTAAAACTGGATTGAAATGTAATCAGTAGAAAAGCTAACCACTTTGAGCATTATCTTGTTGGAAAACTTAAGTTAGTGTGTGCCACCCCAAACTAGTAAAAACTTTTCTGTGGCAACTAGGAAACCTGAAAAATGAGAAAATAAAAGTACATTTCAAACATCTAACCATTAAAAGAATTCCAACACAGCAAGATCCCAACTACCTCTGCTAAACCAGCTGACTGCACAAGTGCTCCACAAGAGGCAGGATGCTGCTGGCAGACAAAAAGTCAGGATCATGCATCACAGAAACAGCACGCAATGAACTTGATGTGAGACATTAGGCATCTAAAGATAAATTTTGTATCTGAGCCTGAGTGCCTTGAAATCACTGGCAATTAGTTCCCAAGCTTGCAATTTTTGTATATTAACATTTTGGACACAGTTTTAAAGGTGCCATCTTGGGTGAAGTTGTGGACTAAGGAAGAAATAAAATGCTCTCATGCAATCTATTTTTATGGAAGACAACTACAGAACAAAATTGGTGATTTCCCTGGAAAAATTTTTTCCATCTCCTGAATGCAATGGCTTGTATATGGATATGCTTAAGCAGACATGTCATAAGATTTCAGCAGTTATGTAGGACATTACAAGCTACAGCTTAGTACCTTCAAAGCCTAAAACAAGAATTTTCCACTAACAAAATAGTGAAGAGAGGAAGACTTACTACCTCCTAATCTTGCCCTCCATCTAGAATGTCCCCAAACAGATAGCAAATTTGCAAAAGCCTACAGAATTTTGTTATTAGGTAAGCTTAGAAGATGTTTTCAATGTTTTAGGTTTGAGTTTTCATTGTTACAATATGTGCAATTAGGTTACTCCAGTAAAATGGACCATGTAAATCAATGACACACTACTTACCACTGAAAGCACAAAATTGAGAAGAGCTGTCCCACTGTGGAAGAGGATTGTCACTAATGCTGTAACCGTAGTAAACAAGAGGCTCACATTGCGACTCATCACTATCCACAGAGACTCCAGGATCTGAAAAAGGAGGGAGAAGACATATTTAGACACTGGAGGCTATTAGCAAGGCCAGAGAATTACTTGCTGAGTGATTAATCTCCATCAAGCTAAACAAAGATGTCAAAAAAAAAAATAATCTTCCCTCACTCCTGTACTACAGCAGGTTCTATCAAGTGAAAATGTCCACTTTACCAAGGGTAAGTTTCTATGTAGCTGATTATAAGGTTTTGGAATTTTTCTCTCAGTATTCAAAATTATTTCATTACGCAAAATTGAAAAAAAATAGATGTGGTGACACTTGTTTACTGTGATTAACATTCCTGCCAAGTAGATCTTGTCTTGGGAGAAAATATTCACCTTCTCAAAAGCAGAAATGTTAAGACACGAAGAACAAGGAGTAACATCACAAGGCAGAAATAAATATGATGCTCCCAATCAAATAATAAAATTACTACTTCAATATATTTGTTGTTAAAAGCTTTCATGGTAATGAAATGCATGTTTTTAGTAATATCTGCACAGAAATGTAAAAGTTGTGACTTTGAGTAAGGCTACATCAGTTAATCAAGTAATTATTAAAAACTAACAACTACTAGTCTTGGTTTAACAGATAGCAATTAGACCAAATTAAAACAAAACCATTCAACCAACACCCCCTAAAACCAAGAAACCCTTCCTCAGCAGTCAGCAATTGTAGAGCAGACAAAGGAGTATAAGCCATGTGATCACCTCCCCTTTAGAAGTGAGTGAATCGTATTAAACATAATTTATTAAGCATGAACTTGAGAGGGAATAAGTGCTGGAGGAAATGACAGGGAATTATAACACAGAAAGCCCTACTTAGTTCATGCTTCCTACTATTTAATGGGAATTATGAATGTTAAAGCTCATCTTTTGTACAGATTGTATTAGTGTCTCTTGAGAATTCAAGTGATGTTGGAAGTGAAGAGGACACAGCTGAAAAATGATATCCCACTGGCACCTATCCCTTTGCTTCTTCTATTGACTACAAACTCATTCTGGGGGTGTAGCAGTGCTACAAATTCATGCAGCCCCATGGCAACATTATCATGGGCACATTATGTTAGGAGGACTGTAGACACACAGGACAGTGAATTCTGAAGGAGGGAGTGGTTTGTAGCTAAAGCAGAGGCCTTCCAGTTGGCATTCAGGAAGGATAGTGCAATCACTGTTAACAGCAGACGTTAAGTTGTATGCAAGGTTCCCCTCCCAGATATTTAAGCTTGTTACTAGAACTTGGTGTGTGAACAGGAGCTTCTGAGCCACAGGTCTTCTGTTATAATGTGAAGCTTAATCACAGAACAGCAGCAAAGGCCTTGAAAATAGGGACACAGGTTGAAAAAAAAGGTCCCTGAAACAGGACTCAAAGCAGTGCTTTGAGTAAGAAGGTATTGAAGATGCACAACTTTGAGCTAGGAAGATTGCTTTTCCTTCAAGAAAATGAGGTAGGAACTAAGAAAGCGGGGAAAAAACCACAACAGGCTAACAACAGGACAAGGCAGCTGTCATGACCTGGAAAAGTAATACTTTTCCCAAGTATCACAGCACACAGTCCAGGGCAGAGGCCAAGGGGCAGGAGCTGTCTGGAATAAGAACACCTTATGAAAGGACAAGCTCCTTAATCTGAGGGAAGATGACATCCATAAAGTTCCAGCTCTGCATATCTAAAAGCTCTTCAGTCAGTTCATTTACACTTCTATGACTCAGCCCATTAAGCAAAGTCTCTGTTGGTGACAACTACACAGCACCATCATGATGGTTTTTTAGCCTCACAGCCCATGTAGGACATGACTGTTAAGAACTGACCACTTTCAATACAATGATAATGATTAGAAGACTGCAAAGCAAACCACGGGCATGAAGCATGTGGTTAATGAAAAGTGGTCTAGCAAAGTTTTGCTCTAAAGAGTAAAACTACTCTGATTTAACAGCCTTCTAACTAGTGATCACAGTAATTGTTAAAACCTTCACTTGCAACACAAAAGCTGAGCTGATACCAGCGAGAGTTTACAAGGAGAGGAGCTTGTTCCATCTGCTAGAGGAGAGCATAGAATTGGTGGGACTGTGAAAGTTTTCAAAACAGGATGTTTCTCCAGTATAGGCAGGATTTATTGACCACTCTCCCTAGAAGCTTAAGCCTGAGGGCTGACAACCAGGAGTATCCAACTGCAGGTAGTCTGAATGTAGGTATCAGGTTGTTCCATTAACTTCAGAAATGGCTCTCCTACATGAACATCCTTGTTTCCTGGAGTCATTGATTGGAACTGTTGAACCAGTAATCACCAGCATTAAAGCAAGTGTAGATAGTGCCTTTCTACAGCTTTGGTAAGTCTTATGAAAGCAACTGCATCTTTTAGGACTCCAACTTTTAGTCTCCAACTACAGAGACCTCGTTATGCATATGTATCATTAAAATTTCAATATACAAGCTTTTCATAGCTAAGGTCTGAGAAGACAGACATAGCAGACACTAATCATTACTGAACACAGCGTTAGAATATGCTCAGATACTTCCCTACCATTCACAAAATAACAAAATTACATGCAGCTGCACCTAAGAGTTCATAAAGCTGTTTGATTCCCAGAGCCTACTGCAGCTGTTGATGAGGTCACCTACACATAAAGAATTGTTACCACCTTGCCAGCTGAGCTCTCCAAAACACAACAAAGCGTGACTATTTATGCAACAATGTTACATTGCTTTTAGTTACTTTTTTCCTATTAAATAAAGAAAACCACACCTCTTTCCCTAAACCACTGCTCTGTAAGCAGCTGTAAGGGATCAGTGTTTAAAAGAACTATAAATCTGTACAGAATTCAGGACTCTCTTATACAGCACACTGTATCACCATCAGCATCAGTTACTCTGCCTTTCCAATCTGTAACAGGCAAGAAAGAAAAATTGCACACAATATTCTTAGGCATCTAAGGTGTCCTCTTGGCCACTTTTAAACTAGTCAACACTCAAAAATGAGGGTTAAAAGGCACTTGATCAAAACAGTAATTTACGGAGAACTTCAAGTCAGCAAGCTTCTGGAAGCCAGATAAAACTGTGTCCCTTACTCAATTCTGTATAAAAGGAATAAAACTAGATACAAAGATGTGAAAAAAAACCCCAACATGCTAGTTGATATATTACTGAAAAATGGATTGAATTAACTATAAACTTATGAGATTACTTGAAGAAACTACTGGAGCCAGAGAAAAATATTAGGATGTGTAGTAACTCAGTGAAATATTTGAGGAGCTGACTTGATTTAAAATGCACAGATCAGTCATGCTAAAAGCACAGGAAGGGAAACCTAACTAAGCTGTAGCTTGCTGTGAATATCTCTGTGCAAGGTCTTCAGTCTTCCTGTCTGGGAGATCTCTGAGTGAGATACCACCTGCTGGTGGAATGATGAGTATTCTTGTGCAAGGAGCCAAAAGATCAAATTAAGAAGACATTAGCAATGTCTCATGTAACATCAAGGGAGCTCTGAGTCATAATTCACAGATTTAGCCAGCAGCAATTCACTTTCTCAATGCTACAAGCATACAAGAAATGGAGAAAAGGGTTTATGAATGGAAAAACAGATGAGTGAGGAAAGAATGAGTCTTTTTTATTTTTCAGAAATTAAATCTTAATAGTCCAGCTCCATGCTGCCTATTTCATGCATCTGATTAACTACCTTGGAGTAGAGTATGGGGTGCAAAATAAAAGACAAAGTGAGGCTTCACTCTTGCTCTCTCTGCCAAGAATGAGATGAAATAAACCCCACTTCAGAAACACACCACTGATTATACTATGCTGGTTTTTAACACTACTGCTTCTAATACTGGAAAAAGGCAGCAATGTTGCTAACACCAAGGCTTTTAGAGGAAAAAAAAAACAACAAACAAACTTGAAAAAGCTTATCTTCATATTAAATCTTCAGGCAATTTACATGTTTATATAGTAAATTTCTTTAAAATAATTAAGGTCTGTCTACATCAAACTACAGCTAAGCATAACTGCTATAATTAACAACACATTTTGGGGGGGGGGGGGACAGAAGTCTTCCAAGCTTTACCTGATACTCAAAGTTGCAAAGTTGAATCGATGCATGTTGTTACAAATTAAATGAACACCAGCAATTCCCCAGCACACCTACATCAGTAATTTAATTACATGCCTTCAACTCTAAAATGAAAATATCTTCCATTACAGGAAAAGCCTGAAGTGAAGCACTAGCATCTGTCTTCTCTTAACATTTTTCTTACAGCAAACACTACTCCTATTAAGAAGGAAGAACACTTCCTTTGACTTCCATCAGTAGAAAACAGCTTATCTGCTTGTGGCTGTAATATGACATTGTCAAATAGCTGTATTTTCAGAAAAACTGTCATCTGCTCTACTCTGAAATACTTCAGAAAGCCAAGGGGATAGCAAGACAGTTATTTTTTGGTAAACTCCGTCTATGCATAAATATTTGTTACATGTAAGTAGTGTAATCACACACATTTATTCTTTTCCTAAAGTGGAGGAAACCTCATTAGAGCTTTGTATCTGCTTCTTTACACAGTTCTTTACAGCTATCTCATTGTCTTTAAATTATCTGTATGTTAAAAAAACCTGTCAACACAGCTTTGGGACTGTACTGTGTCTGGCTATATTCTTAAGAACTGCGAGCCAACATTTATTTCAAGTGTTCAGCTTTACTATCCCCACAAACAACACACTCAACCAAAAAATAAAAAGATAAAACAGCTTGGGTTGGAAGGGATCTTAAAGATCACATGGTCCCAATCCCCCTGCCATAGGCAGGGTTACCTTTCCTTAGACCAGGCTGCTCAAAGCCCCATCTAATCTCATCTAAATCCCACTCAAAGTTTCATAAAATATGAAAAAAGCAAACAAACAAAAAGCCCAAACTAAAGAATCCAAGCAACAGAAAAATTAAATCCCCAGAGCATACATTCCCAGAAGCACTCACATAATTTAAAATATTAACCCTTCCCAATTCAGTATGCCATTCCAATAACCCATTGTTCCACTTCAGAATACCAGGAGAAAGGTTTTCATGCTCTGCTAAGAACATAAATCCTGAATACAGTAAGGCTGCTTTGTATCTTAGGACAGGTAAGAAACTTGCTTAAACATATCAGACTTAAGCAAAAGCTATTCTTATTTTAAAAATCTCCAAATTTCATGACCTAAACAAGAACAGAGACTGTATTTTCATCAATTTTAATTAAAAACATTAGCGTGAGTAATATTTATGCAATGCACTGTGGATGAGCAAGCCAGGAAAGGAAATGCTGCCCAGTAAGGATGTGAAATCAGGATTTAGAGCTTTATACTAAGCTGACTGGTTTACAGTCTGCCATTAAGGACATGAGTACATGGAGAAAAAAGACAGGTGTTTCCCCAGTGATGATGAGTAATGAGTTCCTGGAAATAAACAGGAAAGCAAGTCATTTGCTGGCACTTTTTTCTTGAACTTTTAAACCAGGTTTTAGAAGTAAAGCAAGCATGTTAGCTAGATGAAAATTTTAATGTTAATGTTTTTCATCCTTAAATATTTATTCTCTTTACACTTTTCTTTGCCTCTCTCTAGCCTGCTAAGATTACTGAAGCACATCTTACATCATGGTTTCTGAGCACTGTGCAGCAATGCTGCAAATGACACACTCTTATCAAGTAGTTTCTCCTCCTTCTGTGCCTCTTGCCTAGAAGGAAACTCCACATTGATTTTAAATCAGGATGTGCTGTGCATTTTTAAAACCTTTGCCTCAAGCATGCATGACCAACTTTGAGAAAGTACCAAGCAAATTTCATAATTAACTGAAAAAAGGTTTACTGCAATAAGGTTTCTCTCAACTCTTCCTTGTCTCACATCTTCTATGGTAGGAGCGGTAACAATTTAAGCAGCAATTGGGGGAGGACAGAAAAAGCACACATGCCTATCAGTCTAAACCAAGGACTGCTTGGAGGTAAATATTAGCTTTAACTACATCCACAGATCTGCTATAGTGCCACATTGGTATAAATAATAGTCTTACAAAACTGAAGATAATGTAATGACAACAGCTCAAGGCAAGGATGAACTATACTGGGGATTGATTCTATGTATGAAGCATTTAGGATTTAACATGATTTTTTTTTGTGAAACACCTTAATTTGGATTGCTTTCAATGCTTCCTCTTTTTCTCCTCATAAGGTGAAATATTTTTATTCAGAAATTCACAATGTATAAAATATCAATTTCATTCTCCACAGAGATTTCATAAAAGAAAAAAATAAGCTGCTTTAAACTCCACAAATAATAGTAATTTGAGGTAAAAAAACCAAAAAGACCACCCCTCCACTTTTTTTGCTTGGTTTTGTTTTCACAACCTCTAAGTCAATAGCTTCTCCAGTTATAACTTAATTGTTTACTTCTTTAAAGAGAAAAGACTACATAAAATAATGCACTGAAAATCAGCTTGCAGGTGACACAGGTAACAACATGCCTCAGGAAGACATGTAGAAAGCTGGTATCCATGAAGATGCTGAAAGCACAAGAGCTTCTTTCTCATAAATATTTCTGTTTGTTTTACAGCTATATCTTAAATAGGCTTGCAACAATTGCTTAGGTAATTGTAAATAACACTAACAGCGTATCCATAATTTTCCATTTACTTGAATCCATAACCTTAGTGGTACTCCAAGGAGAAATTTCTATCAGTTAAAAATCAGACCAATTTCATAGTAAGTGCAAAGAATACGTACCGAGAGAAACGTTTCGATGTTATCGTGAACAAACGACGCAACATCTTGCCAGTCCAGAATATCTCCAAGCCAGCTGTGCTGACGGTTTATGTGCCACTTATGTCCTTTGTGTCTTCCAGAATGTGTTACATTCTTAAAAACAAAGAAAATAGACATCTAAATAAAATTTAGATATATGAGAAAGACAAAAGCTAATGCTTTAGACTGGTGTTTTCTTAATGAGGAATAGATCCAACATGCATCTAAATGCTTAGAGCTGCTTTAACTGGCATCTCCTAAAATAACTGCAAGTCCTCTGTACACTGGAAAAATGAAAATCTGACAGAGAACTGTAGTTAATTATCCCATTTAATTACATATGTGTATGTTGTATTGATTAACCTCAGTTAAAAGTTAAGTTTACTGCTTCACTGATACAATGGTATCTGTTTTGCTCTTAATGAAAGCACGTAAGAAAGAGGTAATGATTTCAATTATTGCCTATATAATTTACTGTTTGCAACACACAAGTTTTCCCAGAACAGCTCATAAAGAAAAATGCAACCACAAGTCCAAGCAGCTAGTTTTCTCACTATTATTTTCTACCTCTCCAGAGGAAATGTTCAATCACACAAAACCTAAAATCTAAACTGGATGCAGGAGGCTCTCTTCTGACTACAGACCTTTGTAACTGCAACACAACAAGACAACAGGACATGGCCATAAAAACAATAGCTAATTCCTTAAGTGGCTCCTCCCTAATTATGATGCTGCTATTGTCCAGTGAATAATACCTGATTATCATCTTGAATGCCACAGGCTGGGACTGTGACAAGTGTTTCAGAGAAGGATATCAAAATTCTCTGAAAGCAAGCTTAAGCAAACTCGCTGACTAAAACATCCTAGTCTTTAATAGAAGAAGACTTCTCAAGTTCTTAACTCTGATTTTTACAATAAGCATCCCACTACTTGTTAAATTTTTCTGCACACTTTTAGCCTTAGCAACCTGCATGCAAAATGGCAGTACCTTTTTTTGCCACACATGGCAAATAACATTCCAAGTGCAGTCCCTGTACTGATTTATCTAAGAGTATTACATTTTCTGCTCATTATCAATTCTCTCTAGATACACTGTTACACTTTGTGATGTACTATTAGCAACCCTCTATAACAATCCACTACCAACACAGAGATCTTTCCTGTGAGCTAGCAATTTACTTAGAGTAGAAACATATGAGTAGTCAAAAATCTCCCTCGAATAGGCCTTCTGTATTTGTAAATATTTGTATTTCTGTGTAGAGACCTATCACCTCTTCATCTAGTTCTACACCAAAACTATTATTTCTTTAGTGCTGAGATATTTTTGGAACTTTAGAGGTACTTGAAGAATAACTGCATAAAGAAAAGTGTTAATGTAATTGCAGTCATTTAAATGTACAGAAGTATTTCAGGAATATGACTTCTGGATTTGATATTTCCATTGCACGATGGCTAATGAATTGCTCTTTCCTTTAAACTGTAGACAGCACTGGCAGCATAACAATGATTTAACTCTTAGGAACTTTTCAGGATTCATTGTACAGAACACATTATAAGATGGCTGCAAAAATGCATTGTAAGAAACTTAATGAGAGGGCAATTACTTTCTCACAATTTCAAATTAATAAAAGTTACACAAATCATGCAGAAGACCAGTTGCCTTTTCCCAAGACCTCAACAACTTGAATAACCGTCAGAAAGTGCTAAACTATGAAATACTAATTATAAAAAGTGAGAAAACTATAAAATGGCACACACAAAAACATACTTTACTACTTGAATGTAGGACACAACTCTGGCTATACTAAAACTGTGACTCAAGAACGATGTGTCTAGCACACTCGAAACTTTTACCTTCTTTTTACTGACCTTTACTTAACCTTCCAACTTTCTGCTAATCTCTTCCTTAGAAATGCATACTTAGCATAATTACATCAGAGTATGATAGTTTACATGAATACCATTTAAATGAGTTACTCACCTTCACAAACCAAGAGTGATAAAGCCTGTCCCAGAGCTCCAGCACTTGTTTTTCAATCACAGCAGTGTTATTTACTTTTTCTCCTAAAATCTTATGGAGCTAAAACACATAAAAATCCATTATTATACAGGACAGAACAAAGCAGGCATCCACTGATGAACTTCACACTCGATGAATAACATAAGATTGTCTGTAAAGGCACATTTCAAACCCAAGTTATTAGAAAAATTAGTATCAGCATGAAATACACACTTCAGATAAAACTGTTCACAATTCAAAGATTTTGTTAAAAACAGTCTGCTGCGCTGAGGACTTCTTTCTGCACTGCAAAACAAACGCTGTCTCTAAAATCCTTAATCCAAAGCCCTTGATCATATCTTTAGAGTAAATATTTCAAATAATTTGAGATGCTAGACATCAAATATATGAGTAAGAATCTTGGCAAATTCTTCTGAAGAAGAATATAGCTAACTATACAAATTATGATTTAAAAAATATCCAGTGCAAAACCCCCAGCCCACACAGAAATTAGGGGAGAGGGAGGGGCAGTGGTCGAAACAGAAGTTTACATGGTCTCTAATACAATAGCCAAAGCCAGTTCAAAAAAAATTACTTAATTTTATTTGATCCATTTTCACTGGGAATCCTTAGAATTATGACAGATTCTTCAGTTCTTAAAATAAACTAATCCCTGAACAGAAAAGACTACTGAAATCACTCCCACTCTTCCTTCAAAAGTCCCAAACCAGAGTGGAAAGATTTGTCAACAAAATGGTTAAACATATGGAAAAGAACTACTGACAAATGTATTTTAATTTCTTTTTACTTTTATGAAATACAAGAAATTAAAGCAAAAACCAAAGAATTTGAGCTTTCTGACAGCTCACTCTGACCTTGTGTGTGATCCATTCTCGGCCATACTGGTATACGTTGTTGGCTGCAGAATTGAGCGCCTTCTGAATGACCTGGGCCTCTGGGAGCCAGCTGAGGGAAAACAAAGTTAACTGTTATATTATACCCACTTCATTACACTCAAAACACATTGCAAATTAACATTCTGAAACAACAAATCATTATGGCTAAATACATATAAAATTACTACAACTCAAATGTCTCCTTCTACATATTAAGGAATAAATTTTTCCATTTAAATCTAGGGCATGCTATTGCATTTAAAATCCTCCAAGGTTCCTGAAACCTTAATTAATTTGATATCTCAACTTTTTCAGAAGAGATTTGTTCTTCAACCTCTATGTGTGCTACTTACACAATATTATTTTTTTCCCAGAGTTTCCTGAAAATACCGTATGAAGCAGTCTCATCGAGCTGCAAACACAACCTTTTGAAATTACAAGCTGAATGTAAATTGTAATTTACAATTGTAAATTGTTAACATAGTTTCCATGAAAAAGCAACCAGCTGACAAAAGGTCTGGACATCAGTTATTTCTAAGTCCTCACCAAACCACTTGCTAGCAAATTTCTTCAGGGACTCACATCACTTTCAAGCAATGTACCCTACTGAGTTGTCAGCATTGTACTACTTGTGAATACAGGCCACAAAATCTCTGCTTTCACTTTCTTTTTACATCTTGATTCAATGGCACTTGTTGGGAGCCCTTCCAAAACAAAATGAAAGCATTTCAGGAAACAGAAATGCTGTAGTTGTTCACCTGACTAAAGACCAACATGGAAGCTCCTCTGTCTGTATAATGCTTCAGAAATGTTCCAGATTGGAATTCCAAGATATTTCAGTCACTCACCTCTAAACATAAAAGAGCATCGAGCTCTCAAAGCTGGTAAAGCTTCATGGATTTGGCAAGAGGTACTCTTAATGAACTAAAATATAGTGTTATGGATACTTCAAATTTTAATGCAAACTAAATGCAAACTTCTCTAGTTTAAGAAGTTATACTAGAATTCTGCAAATTATTTAACTAGCCAAATGCTGCCAATTATTTAACTAGTCGAATTCTGCAAATTATTTAACTAGTAGTCCACTAGTTTCATTATGCAATTAAGCTTGTGACAGTCAAACTTCCATCTCCATTAGACCCACTTATTTTCATCTTATAGCAAAACAGAAAGGCCAAACAACACAAGAGATGCCATGAAGGAATAAAACCAAGTGCTTTAAGTGCTTTCTGTTCTCATGATTGTGATTACTTCAGTAGTGCTAAAGGATGTATTACCACAATGGTTATTAACTATATCCTTTTAGTTCTGTTTTTGAAAAATTGTTTTGCTCTTATAATGCAGCATCTGCTTTCTTTCAATCTTCTTAAACTACCATCACTTTTATTAAGTGCCCTTGAAAGAGTCAACCATTCTTATTCTGGAGAGATTTTGTTTTTGCTGTCATTAAATTGGTATCTCACACTTGCCCAATGTCTGTTTAGCTGAATCGGAATGAAAGCCACCTGGAACATGCCCCTGTTAAAATCACACTTTTCAATCTCACCTATTCCCCCTCTGCAATGACTCCTTTGCTCACCAGTGTGCCCATGTTTTCCTCTAGATGCATTTCTCTCAAAATCATCCCTCTCCCTTACTACTTGTCTTGGTGCTTACTTTGGTCAGTACACAGACCAAACCTTACAAACTTCCCACTGCACACACTGCACACACCTACTCATAATAGAAATGTCCCTGCCCAACTGAGTCACACCAAACCCCCCCCATCCACCCCTGAACTCTTCTTCAGTTCACTCCAGGAACAATGTCTTCAACTCCTATTCCTTCAAATGCACTCCACATCCACCTCTCTACATTTAAAAATAATTTAGCTCTATCTCAAAACTTTCTAGAGTATTCTTTGTCAGCACTTTTCTTTCATAGAAAAAAGGGACAAAATACAGATCTCTTCATTCTCTGCACTATACAAGTTTCTTCTCCGTAACTGTAGCTAGGAAAGTTAATGGAGTCGTCCTTCACCTCCAAAACCCAAGCAGTCCTCAAATGAGATAGCACACTGACAGTCCTCCAGAGTGATGCACAAACATCTCTGCTGCCTGAGAGTTTAGCTTTCACATCTGCCTCTGAGCACATTTCTGTTCACCTAGGGAATTTTTTAAATTAAAAACTATGCATAAGAGCACCTGGAAGCTTGTTCATCCACCCTATACTATTCGCTTAACTTCAGCATTCTTACTTTGCCCACTCTGGGTGACTGGCTACTGTCTCATTGATCAAGCTGCTTGTGACTTGAATCATGTGAACGCTCTCTTGATGTACCTAAATTAAAGACAGAGAGGAGAAATGTTATGCAATGCAAACTACAACTCTTCCTACATTCAGAAAGAATTCTTGTTTTTGGGAGGAGGAGGAGTGAGTGGTGGAAGAGGAAGGAGGATGGGGAGGAGGGGGAAGGTGAGAAGGGATGCAGTGACCAGTTTGTATATTTAAAAAAATAATTCTTCCAGTGCAAACAACTCACTAGGAAGAAAAAAGTTCCATTAACACAAGAAATACCTAGTCAATACAATAATAAATTCTGGTCAATAGTAATAGCAAATGGAAATTTAAACCTTATCCCATCAGTGGAAAAAAAAATCAAAAATAACAGCAGTGCTGTCAAGAGAAGTACTAATATACAAAGAAAAGTTTCAGATACAACTTTTTAAGCCATGGATCAAAGAAGTGTAAAAATTAATGAATACTTAGTTCTAACATGACCAACCCTGCTATGAAGTGCCTAACTAAATAAATTCTTCAGCAAGAATGATAAAATACATCTTTCATAAATATCTTAATACTCCTTCTGTGACTGTAAGGGAGCTTTAGGCAGGAATGTTTGCACAACTCCAAAAGTCTTTAATTTTAAGTATTCAACATTACATATGCCTGCATTCTGGAAAAAGGAGACTGACATCAGAACCCATTGATCTTTGTTCCTTAACTGTATTCAAGTCAAACATTCAATCTCCATTGACCATTTCAAGTATGAACACAGCTCCATTAAGGAAAAAGGGAAAAAAAGGTACATGAGTGACCTCTTCTGGTGAGCAAAAAAAAAAAAACCCCACCCAAACTCAACCATAAACCAAACATCAATTTCAGAGAATACCTGATCATGAATCTCAGTACATTTAACTCAGAAAAGGATACCATGAGGTTATTACAGGCAATTACACAAACAAATTGACAAACACACCTTAATTATTTTGCAAACGTTTCTGATGTGAGATAAGTTAAAGAGAAAAAAATCTAAGTGGTTCTTCTGTTGACAAGGGAAATGTCAACAGGGTGCAAAACAAATCTGTTCCTGTAATACATAAGCTAGTAATTCTTTTACTAGAATAAATTTTGTATTTACAAATGTCTACATATTAGCCTTGTCATATAGGTAAAATCCACAGAGATACAAAGAAATAGAAACATTGAGATTTTTATATATTTTTGTATATTTTACAGTCTTGGAATGGTGACAAGTTCAACTACAACATTTAGAAAAATTCTTTAAGCTACACAATCCCGTGTAAGTATCAGTAACCTTCATCAGCAACAAAAACGAGCTTTATGATTGCATTTGTTAGCACACTGTACCTTTGCAGTAAGGAGAAGAGCTAGCAGAAGGGTTCCTATCACCAGCACAAATATTATGAAAATGCTGATTATTTTATCTAGCATTTTCTCCAGCCACACGATAATCTGTGCAGAAAAAAAAAATTATAGCACATAAATCAATCTTTAATGAAAGCAATGCTGTATGCTATGCAACAGTATTGTTATTTTTATTTACAATCACAGTACAAAATCAGGCTCTAATCAAACAGCATTTATGCCCAAGCTTGGAAATGAACAATTAACAAGCAATGTTAGCATGATTAAGGTCATGGTATGACATGTGATTTTGCAAAAAACATGTACACATTACCACACAACACAGCAAGCTCTCTGCAAAGCAAGCAATAATTCAACAATTACTTACTAGACCTAGAGAAGTACCTAAAGAAGACATTCATGTCAACTAGAACCCAGAAATTTGTCTTTGTTTCTTGTCCTTCAACAACCTGGAAACTTACAGATATTGTCTGCACAGGACTTCAAAGCTATCAAGGTATACTTTAAAGCACAACCATAACTTTCAGATTTGAATAGCTAAGAGCCATCTAAATGACAAATGAGGTATTTTTGCAAGTAATAAAATTTTTAAAGCTGCCTCATCACCTTCTGAACTGAAATAGGACAGGTGGGGCTCTGCATTATTGAATATCAGGCCAATTATTCAGCACCAACTATTTCTATCCACTTCCAGTCTCAGGAGGATGCTCAGCATTAAGCATGCATCAGCTAAACTGACTGATACAGGAAACAGGCACTTGTTCTGTCAGTTCACAAAAGGCCCATTCTATATATGTCCATAAGCAAATGGTAATACCACATTTGAGTAGAGAAATTCTGATAATGTCATTCAAAACAATCAAACTGCTCAGTCACATGACTTTGCAGAGTGCTCTGGAACACGGCAAGCTGAGCTTCATCTTGTACACAAACTGATTGTTTACATAAAAAGCTGTGAAAGCACATGCAAGCATGACCAAATACATTTTTCTAGCTCCTATGGTTCAAACACCAGATCTATTTCTATTCCATTTAGCATTACTACAGGAAAAAACAACAGCACAATTGTAAAATTTGTGATTCATGAGAACTGAAGTCAAAATCCATGTGCAGTAAGCGAAAGTACTTCAAGTCCAAGTTATATATTCAATGATTAAGTTGGTAACATTTTAGTTAGAGATCTTATAAAACTACTAACATGCATGCTAATGGTTTACATTAGTTCTTTCTGCATTATTTACCCTATCCCTACAAATGAAATTGACCCTGGAACAACACACTTCTCAGACTGCTCCGTGATGACTGAACTGGTCAACACTGAAGTCAGATCTCCTATTTGATAAAAGCAAGGATTTTTTGTATGTGTGTTCATCCAGTAGTATCTGAGCACTTTATATAAGTCAAGTAATTATTTTTAAATTCCAAGTTTTTACAACCAGCTCCTTGTTAGATCTAAATTAACAAGTTCTTGTAACAAAGTCTGTACTACATTAAGAACTGCAGAAAGGAACTCGGAAAACACAAGGAAGTGTGAAAAGTCTTTTGTCTTAGGTATTTTTAACCTAAGTTTGGTTTTCAGCATTGTTAACAGATTTCAGCCATCAGAAATGCATTGCCAGTGGTGAGGGAAGTGACCTGCCTGCAGCAGTACGACAGCTCTGAAAAACTTTGAGCAGCCCCTGCACAGGGCATATATATCGGGTTACCTCTTAAGACTGAAATGAGATTTGCTGTATCCTTCCAAGCCTCATGTACATCTAGTGATTATGCAAGAGAAGCAAGAAATGAAAGTTCTTGTTTCAAAGGACACAAATAAAAAATATCACCAAGAAAACACCACTGGATAGGCAGGGGAAGAAAATTTTATAGCATGGACTTGAAAATTAAGCTATTAAAAATTAAAACTGCCCTCATCATTTCGAAGTTCAAACTACTATTTACTTTTTAAGTCAGAGTTTAAAGAAATCCAGTAGTCTTACAAATAGTACTGAATCAGATTTACTGCAGCTATGTAATTGGAAGTACTGTCAGAGATTTCAAAAAATGCTAGGCTCAATAATTGTGTGAGGGGTATTCAATAGGTGAAATCTCAGTGGAGGTGAGGCTGAATGCTTTAGATGTTTTGCCATGTAGCAACTAATGGAAGGGCAAGCTCCAAAAGACCAGGATGAGGATTCTCTCCAAGATGGCACAAGGCATCTTTCCCAGACACTCATACTGACAGTTCAAATATGCCTGGACTGCCATTAAGGTGCAGCTGGAGCACATGTAAATCCTGGATTACCTTTAATCTAGTTAGCAAAGACGTGGCAGCACTGATGTTGCACTGGTACCAGCAGCAGCCTCAGCCATGCCAGGCCACCCTGTCTCTATTTACTTGGGCAGGTAGCCCAAGGAAGCCTGATGAAAGCCAGCTTTGGCAAGCCTACAGGTACTGCAAGTCTCAACACAGACTTAAGGGGATCCAAGTTATGCAGGGGTACAGACACATCACAGCAGAAGACTGAATTGGACTGAGTATTGTGCAAGTAAAAGCAGATGGATATTCACTTAAGGTTATATTTATTCTTTCTTTTTTCTTCTATTAAAACATACTTCCTTTCCCTACATCAACCCACAACACTTCCTTAGCAATCCCTCACCTTTTCACACTCCTGTTAAATAATGCATAGGTGCAGGTAAGCTACTCACTGCAGGAAGCGGCACTGTTAAATGCCTGTGTGGTCGTATTTATCACTGAATCAGGTCCAGACTTCACTCTTACCTCAACCCTGCCAGACCTCCCTTTACACCCTTCCTGTAAACCATGGGCATGCACACAGAGACAAACATGTACTGACTAAACACACTCATTAGCCAGAGGTCATGAAATTTTATATTCGGTTCCAAGCTTCTAATCCAAAGGTTAGTCAACAGCAGAAAGCTGAGGCTGCCACAGCATCTGAGATTATGCAAAGGTAAAGGAAAGCCAGGCTCCTAAGCTACAGAAGGTCAACTTGTAAAACCAAACTGAAATATTACTGACTTGTGATAGTTTTTTGTGGACAGTCTATCTTTAATTGTTACAGTTTTGAACTGAAAGGTTATCAAGGTTTTTATTTTCATTTAGCTCACTGTAAAAGGGTTTTTTATGATTGAGTTACATTCTATTAGAAAGCTCCTCAATAATTTGCAAGTACTCCCTCTTTCAACTTTTGGATGATGACACGAAACCACATTACACTAAGCTGTAACACAACTGCAGTCCATACTTAAAAATCAGAAATCCTACTATCTAAACAGGCTCTCCACATTTTGCAGTATGATACATCATCTATGAATTATTATTTTCAGGTTTCATACTGCATAGCCTTTGGGGTAGTAGTTTTTCTAGTATGTTTAATTTACTACATTACCCAAACAGTAAAGCACACCTAGGCATCTACTTCATATTTGATTAAATCTATATAAAAAAATTATGAACATGGACTTTTATTTTTTTCTGTAAACAGCTCCACTATTTATGAGGATTTTTTCCCAAGACATTCCTTAGACTTCTCGTTTCCCTTTTCTTAGTTAATATTTGAAGATACCATCTCATTAATATAATCTGCAGAGAATAAGGGAAGTCTGTAACCAGAGGTTAGGGTGAAATGACTCAGCTGATTAGTTAAGCTAGAAAATGTAGGGAACAGTCTGTGTGAGGTCTCAAGTCTACCTACACCAGTATTCCTGCAGAAGCAGCAGAAGAATTTAGCAATTCCTTCTAAAGACTCCTGACATGGACAATGTTATTAAGAACCAATTATGCCAGACTGATTGAATCTATTCTATATTTTGGGCTATATATACCACAAACAGGAATCAAAAAGCCAAGGTTTTACACTAGTAGTCATAATCAACTATCATTTCAAACTCTACCATATCCATATGACTTTAAATTTCCTGTTGGATTATCAGAAGTTTATGTCTGTGGTCTCTGAAGTACATCCCTTCAAAGACAGGCAAAAAAGGAATCACCTTTTAACTGCAGACAGTGTTCTGTAGCACAAATCCCCTCTTTTTTTATGCCCCTAGTAGAGTGTGACATTTCTTCAATTTTTTTTTTTAAATCACCAAAACACTACACACAACAAAATTAACCCACTGGTTGCACATTTTTTCACTTTTTTAAAAATCTTGTAATAATTATAAGATTATATAAGATTATAAGATCTTATATAATTAAAAATTATAATATTATTACTGTATGTTCATGCACAGAAGTCAATGCTGTATGTAATACTATCAGGATTTCAGGATTTCTACTTATGAAACTGTAAAGTAAACCAATAGTTTTCAAAGATAACTCCAAGGAACTAAAAAACCATGCTCTGTTAAGAAATTATATCCACAGGGTTCTGCCAAATAATGCGAATTTCTAAACTAAAAATAAAATCCAGACATTTTAGCATTTAAAGCTATTACAGTTAAATTGGTTTGGCAACCTACCAGTATTAAGGAGGGGGGAAAACCCCACCTCTACTCATGAATTTTCAACAAAATGACAAATGACAGAAAAAAAGCAGTTGAGACTACTCTTTCTCCTGTGGCTCGCCAAACTCAGCTCTTTACCTGAACTCTGCTAACAAACCAGTATCTAATTAAAAAAAAAATTATGACAGGTTATGGTTGCACATATTTACTAACCACAAGTCACTCACATAAGATAAACATTTCATAGTTGAGAAATAAAAATGTGATTTTAAAACAGGAGAAATACAGTCAAGGGCAAGAGAACATTAAAAATGCCCCTCTTCATGGACAATTATAACTCAATCATGAAAACATATCACACAGTTTTAAAAGCCATACAATAGGAAAAAAATTAATTTTAGCTATGCCAACTACCTATTTTTTTTTTTTTAAACTAGCCTTTTTCTTTCCTTCAGACTTGTTAAGATTCAGCAGTTCTGAGGCCATGCAAAGTCTCATTTTGTATGCATTCACTCCTGGTACACGAGGTACTGTGCCTGTGTACACAGGCAAGTTTGGCACTGCAAAAGTAAAAGACTGACAGCACTCAGTGAAACCAGCCCATGCACCATTTGCAAGCACTTACAGAACTACAACTGTGCTTCACAGCCTCACCACCCCCCTGGTAATCTGGTTAACTGATGCTTTCCCTGAGCAGAGAACAGCTCTCCAGACTGGGAGACAACTGGTTTCCTTAGGGGTACAAGTGGGGACCAGGCAGGGATCAACTATTCCTTAAATAAAAGTGCCCCTAAATCACTCTACCCCTTGAAATGCTAATGCAATACTCTGCTGTGCTAAACATTTAACTATGTGCATTCACTGGAGTAGAAGAGATCAGACAGAATTATATGACCTTCAGTAGCTTATACCAAGAGCTGGAAAAGAGGCATTTGAGAGAGAAATTTATATGAAGCAAGGCATGTTAAGGAGTGTTCATGCTGCAAAATAAAAAAAAATAATAATTAAAAAATCAAACTCCCCAAAACCACAGAATCCATTAGCTGGAATCATAATTTTTCTGTTTATTTACCTTCTTATTAAGCCAGTGCCACAGCTTGTCAGTGGCAGGCGGAGATGGAAGAAAAGGGAAAAAAACACAACACAGTGGAAAATTATTGAAAAATGCAGTAATAGGGAAAAAAGCAATGAGAGGCAGGCAAAGTCATCCACAGAATGAAAATGAAATTTTTCTAGACACAAAGGTAAATTGCAATAGGAAGAAAAGATCATAACAAATTCTAATGCAAGAACCTGGGTTTTACTACTAACATGCACTTTTGAAACAAAGAGGGATATAACAAATATGAACAACTTTAATGGCATTAACAGAGCTATCAGCATAATCTGGACAATTCCAGCTTAATTATACTGACAGCTACCATCACTTCAGAGCAGGACTTGTACTCTGAGAAGGACATTTCAGCAAAAGACCAAAACTTGACATGAGGAACTTGTTTATGGCATTAATACTCCCATTGCGGCATTCAAATATTCCCATTTTACGCATTTCAAAACACTCCTATTATGTCAATTATTCTTGGACAGATTTCACATGTTTTTTTGGTACAACATTCATATTAAAGCACTCACATTCAATGGCACAACATCAAACACATAATTAAGTCTGATATACATACAACAGCAAACTGTAGATCATATAAATGTACAGATTTCATGTAATTCTCCTTGCTCTTCTCAACAGTCAATTTCTCCTTTTGCACTGAAGTTATTTTTCATTACTGATGCTCATCCACATGCTAAAGTATATCCATTTCAGGACCTAGTTTATGTAGGATTATACTCCTAATTCTAACCATCACTAATCATTAGTAGCATAATTAGAACAGAGAAGAGCTTTAACATTGTTATTCATCTCTGTTAGAGATTAACATCATGTAAGTGAAGTTTGTTTCTCCCTGAAAACAAGACACTGAATTCTCAGTAAATCTAACATGTTCACCAGTTGCCAGAAATTACATTAGGTCCCAACGGAAACAAAAGGCATGAATATTTCATATTTATAAAAATCTCATAATGTTAATTAAGTTAGAAGCAGATTTACAAAGAATCATGAACATTAGGAAATATGAAAATAAAATACGTCATAAAGCACCCATGTTTACTAGCTTTTGCTACTTTTGGAAAGAGTCACAGTCAGAGAAATCAATCAAAGGTATCAAAAGCCTCAAACTGACACTGTAGAATTTGTTTCTACTTTACCTCTTCACCTATGGAGCAATTTATCCCCTGAAAAAAGGGAAAGTTGTTTTCTGATTAAATGACATACTTTTAACCTTATTTCTCCACTTTAAAACCTACTGTCTGTACCTGAGGTTTGTTTTGGAAAAAACATAGATCTCATGGCTGTATTGCTCCACTTTGCAATCCCATACTAAATACAACAAAAGAGCCCTAAGATTTTAGCTGAATGTGAAAGGAAAGCTTTGGTATTTTTCTCTAATTTCAGTCTCTGGGAATTGGATGATAAATAGAGTAACTAGAAAATAACATTAGATGTCCAAAATAAAAATATTTTTTATCAACATTTAAGACAATATCTGGAAGGCTCTACCTGCCTATTAGCTTACCAATACTGATGTTTAAGTAGTTCTACAAATGTAATCAACCCACATTTGAAAACAGGCTACAGCTTAATTCTAATCTTCAAGTCATCCAAAACTAATAAGTCTGCAGCCACTTTTCCAGTATTTTATCGGAAAACTATTCATCTAAGTTCTTCCATGTGTATGAAAGTATTTTCTATAACAATATAACTACTGGCAGAGATTATGCTTGTTTTCTGTGCTTGGTTAAACTATGTAATGAACTTGGTACCAGAAGAAATAGAAGCTGACTTTATCCAAAATGCAAAGAATCTAAATAATCTACATATAAAATTCTAGTGCACTATAGCTAGAAAAAGCATATGACAACTACATGATTCACTCAAGTACATCAGAGAACATGTATGTAAAATATTAGTGCATTCCAAGGAGTAAAAGTCCAGTGCATGCAGCTCAGCCACTGCCAATGCTGCTAAACTCCCTCACAAATTCTATAACCAAACTGCAGTCATTTTGTAAGGCAACAGTCCTCTTTAAAATAAAATTTAAAAAAAATGAGTAAATAAGATTAGTAATTCTCTACTGTTGATAAGAACAACCATGTTATCCCATCTGGTGAGCTTAGGATGGTTCAGAGGCTGACAAGAGACACCTCCCTACTCTCTCCTCCAGGAAGTCTCTCACATCTGAACTGCTGTCTGCTGACTCCATGAGGCAAATGCACAGCCAGGAACAGTATACAGTAAGAACAGGATACAGTATCCACATCCTAATCTCATAGTCCATTCTTAAACACACATTTATACAGAGACTGACCTACTGCTTACAAAAACAATAAAATGCAATGCCCTTTTCTTTCTCATCAGAGTTTCTCTGAATTTCAAATTTCTCTGCACTTCCAGGAGAACCAGGGGTAAATGAGAATTGTCAAAGAGAAGCATTTCTTTTCTTGATGGTTTTGTTTAAAAAACAGATAGAATCAGTAGAGCTCAGATTTGCATGCATGAGCAGTACTCACCCATTTCTCACAATGGGCCATTTTTCAGACTATCTACACTAGCCTCCTAAAATTTGTTTGGGAAAAAAACATGCCACTCTAAGATATGTTCCTCATTCTCATTACATTTCACTCAAATCTGGAATTATATCCTATTTGGACATACCATGTTTGCCAGCCCAAGTACTACCACTAAGTGTTTGCATGAAAAAGACCTCATCAATGGCTGGCTGTACTTAGCTAAGATCCTCAATACATCCTGATGCTAAGATTCAGTTTCCAACTAACTTTGCATACCAACAAAAAACCAAACCAAAGAAAAACCCTAAGCAGATTCAGCTCCCATGTAAATAAGCTAGAAACAAAATATTAAAAATTAAACTTCTAATTGCAAAGGAAATGATCCCTCAGTCTTGGTTTCTCACACACCCCCAATAAAAGGTAAGCTGTAACAATTTACTCTTTAAATTTCTATTTTTTGTGTTCACATATTTTTTACTTTCTCTTCAACAGTGCCTACTGAAGCAAAACATTCAGTAATACAACTTAAAAAATCTTGCAAGGATGTAATTTTCACTTCTCTTGTTTCCCTGTCCCTACAAAAAATGTAACTGCCAATAGCCTGTGGCATTGCTTCCCAAATTCTGAGATACCATGCATCCATCATCCTACAATACACAGAATGAGCACAGCCAGTAGAAATTAAAAAGATATGGACGTATTAGTGTGATAAGCATTGGAAGACTACATATAATCCCAGCCACCCATGATAAATGCTGGCTGAAACAGAATTAAAATAGGCACAAATGAGGACAACAAAATCATGCAGATTATCAAGTGCCCTTCTAGTAATGTCTGGGAAAGCTTAAACTGCTTTAATACACAGAGCACACACTCAGGAGGAATACAGGTCTCATCTAAAAAATGGAGGGGTGAAGGGAGATGGGGAAATGAGTTGGTCAACACTATTCTCCTGCTTAGACAAAAACAACATGTAAATAAACTGACCTTAAGTACATTTAAGCTGAAGAGCGAGAGGATCTGCTGCACATTAAAGCCCTACCTTCTTTAAGGAGAAAAGACTTGCTGGAATTAGGAAGGATACTGTATCATACAGTTATACAATACAAGGATACCAAACTTGACAACTCATGAAACAACAATACATTCAACATCGTGTCTAGAGTGGCTTCTTACTTACAGAACAAAATCTTTTTATGAAAAGCTTTGTATAATGTAAGCTTTTATCCCCGCATTAGTAATTTTCACTCCCTTTGGAAAACCACTTCATCGTTGTTTATAGGGGTATTTTGAAAGACTTTTCCTTTCTCAAATTCTTCCTCAATGAACCCTGTGAAATCATTGCTTTTTTCCTACAGCCATTTTAATGTTTTTGTTGACCTTTTGTCATCCATTCACCCATTAGATCCAGGCTTAAGCTCCTCCCTCTCCTATAGGAATTTAGAGCTATAAACTGCAAGACCAATCTGCCAAGGTACAGATGCTCCAACAAATGTACTTACAGGGTTCAGCTCTTCAGTTATAGAAGTCCTAAGATAAGGGCTTTTTCCAGAGCAGAGAATACTTCAATGACACATTTACAGAAAGCACATTCTTACACAGTGCCACATCTATTACAAACAAAATAATCCATCTATCCGTGAAAATTAAAATTCTTAATGAGAGAAACTTTATAAATTTCCTGGAGCTTTCCAACTATGCAATTTGCAATGCAAATGTTGGCATATTTTGCATGGGGAAGAAGGAAGGGGAACACAGAAGCCTTATTCTGTGGCAATTCCCAAATACTTTATCCCACATATTTCTTCCTTTACAGAGGGAAGACTCATTTCTGTACCACCATAGTACTGTGTGCAACAACTTTGCTTCCACACAGTACAGACAAATATGTCTGAACTAACTTGGACCCTACTACCCAAACACAATGGTCTGCTTTTTAATTAAATTTTCACATTAGAAGTAGGAACATCTTATCCTTCAGACTAAAGCTCACTAGGTTTAAATCCAAAATCTTTGTAACCAGGTAAGATTAAGAGAACTTTGCCTTACTCAGATAAGGAACCTTAAAAAGGTGATTCAACATTTTAAAAGTGACTTCTGTAAAGGTCTGCATGCAACCATTTAACAAATTTAACTGTGCACTTAAGTGTGAATAGTGATAGAAGAGACATAATTTAAAATACACCATAAAACAGATACAGTTTCACATGAAAGACATATCCATTAGTGACAGACACTTATTTTAGAATTAAAGCATCTCAGAATATGGTGAAACAGAGAATAAAACAAACTTTGAAGTGGCTTAAGGAAGTAAGTAGAAATACCTTACTGTCAAGCTTTAGCATAACACTTCCAAGTCCTCTGATGGGCCGTGGAGCAAGAGCTTCCTGCCGTTCCTTCACAAAATTTTCAACCAGCTGCCACCAACTTTTGCAGTGCTTTGCCATGAAGTTCAAAACTCCAAAATGAACCACGAATTTTTTAAGTGCCCAAACTGTAACCACAAGAAGGAAATTTACTATCAGAGATCTCAGAGGAACACCACAAGACTACTTATTTATTCTATTCTGGAAGACTGATGAAAAAGAAAGGAAAAGACTCCTGAGTTTTATTTCCCATTAAAAACTTGTGGAATTTGCCAGTGTTTTTAGTACTAATCTCCTCACTATCTTTGTAGCTGTGCTTATCCATATGGAACTTAGATGATAGCACAAGAAAAGTGACAGCACACTACCCAAAAATGCAGCTCAGACTTGATCAAGGCCTGGGATAAGAAGGTGCCACTCCATTATTCCAGTACAGTGGATTTCTTCCATATCCACACACATACACACTATGCCAAATGGCTCCACATAAAGTACCACAATCAGAACTTAACAGCACTTTAAACATAATAGAAAATCTTCAACCTAAATTCTTAAGCTTTAGGCCTTCTAAATTATTAAAGTGTATCTTTCCTTCAAGAACTGACACCACATCATGCAGAATTTCACAGTAAGGAAGCATCCATTTAAATTTTCTTTTGAAATATTACTGATAAGATTTTGCTTTTAAACCTTAAAGAAAGCTATTTGTGATTAGCATTTTATCTTGGCAACACAGAGTACTGAAGTTTCTATCACTACCTGTAACTTTATTTTTTAAATAAATCTTTTTCTTTTAATTATTGTGACTATTCTCCAAACCAGATTCATTACTTACTGCCATACATGAGCTCCACAACAGTTGGCAGTACATCACTTCATCATAAAAAATTCACATCATTTTTCTACTTGGAGAAGTGTAAAACGGCATACATAGCCAAAAAGGTTAACTTTCACTGCCTACAGGGCATTTATCCAAAATCCACAAGAGCTTATTCTCTGGAAGCCACCTGTGTAATAGTTTATATTCTTGTTTTGGAGAGCCAGTGCAATGATTTGCTGACATTTAGTTCACTTACACTCTGGCACCACCGTGTGGCAAATATGGGATTTATTCTCTTGAAGAAACAGAATAATCCAATAATTTCTCTAATAAAAAGAGTGGCAAAGATACAAAAAAGGAGAAAACACAGTGCGAGTGCCAGCACTGAACTTAAAGGCTAAAATTTTGTATGATGAAATTCACCTCATGGCCACTACACAAACTGCTGCTCAGCAAAGTCAGGCAGGCTTGCATTTTACAAGGTGAACAAGATCCTCAAATGGCATTCTAATCTTCCACTGTTACTTAAGTGTAAGTGTTTACACAGTATCTTCTAAAAAAAAATGTATTGTTACTCATTGCAAAGGAGGTGCTACAGTCAATCAAACAGCTATAAACATATATATATTAACATATATATAAACATATAACATATTAAGTTAAAAGAGACAAGAGAGGAAAAGATACAGAAACTGTTATTTCTAACTGTTATTAGAAAGCACTGAGCAAAACAAGAAAAAGTCTGTGTAATAACAAGTTCCAAACATCTGCAGGAAGCAAAAAATTACCTGACAACAATTAAAAAAAAAAAAAAAAAAAAGATACAACAGAAGTAGAAAGGAAGAAAGTGAAAGATCTTTAAAACAGACAGTATCAGGATTTCCAGGCTCAAATCACTCAGTAAAATGCTGCAAGTGTTCCACAATGTGTTTCTTTGCTTAGCTTTTCAATTCATAGCAATTCTTTCACCTTTTCATTTTATGGTATAATTATGGTATCATTTTCCCACCCTCTACACTAAGCAATTTTAAAAGACCATTTCATTCCAACTGAAGTATAAATGCAATCAAGGAAAAATGTTAATGGCACCAAGACGTTTCTAATAATCTAAATGCTACTCTGTATGAGTCCTCTTTACCAATATAAGGAACTCTAGTGAAATTAACACCTATTTAAGGTTTTGGGGGGCTTTTACATACTAGAAGCATCCTCTTTAAGGTTTCAGAAGTGCCTCAAGTTATTATTAGTCCCTTTAAACTTGAACCATTGCAAGGAAACTTGCTTTATTAGCCTTCCTATTTTCCTAGTATTTTTACAATTCCCTCTCTTTCAGCCATGCAGACTATCATTACTCACCTTCTGACCTTTAATGTAATCCACTGTTCTAAGTTTGGCTCTGTTCATCATTATACTGCCCATGTGTGTAATATCTTTCTGATGATTCAGTTCTATGCCACAAAAAAGCACGTCATGGCCCAGTGTCACTGCTTAGGCAACAAGTCACAAATATTCCCAAAAGCAATTTCTCTTTTGGATTAGTTTATTGTTTGGGTAGTTATTTTAGACCTAATGACTGTCAGGAGCACTATTCATCTGTCTCATTTAGATATGGATTTTAATCCAGACTTGTGTGGCTCAAGCTTAAACCATTCACTTCTGTCTAGCTGCAGAACTGCTGTTTGCCTTTTTCCTCACATGTAGGGGTTTCTGAACAGTGGTTAAGTTACTCCTTGAATTTTCACTGAACTAGCTCACCTAGTTCTAGTTCACAAAGCTCTGCTTCTAGTAAGTCTAAAATTTATTTTCTAATTGCTTTTTCAGTCATGATTGCCATCTCCCATGACACCCAGACACCAAAACTGGGAAGTTCTTTCTGTAGCAGCTATACTGGAATGAAACAAAGGTCAAACCCCTCTCTGCTTTACCCTGCATCCAGCTATTTATATGTCTTGCCATCACATTACCCTTGAGCTGCTGCTCCAGTGCCACAGCCAAAGGTGCAGCTGTTCCCTTCTCCATGCCTTGGAGTTCACAGCCCTTCCAATCTCTAAGTGTGACGCCAAGTCACAAGTTCCAGCTGGTTTACAGAGCTTTGTGTCTGTGCACAGATGTCAGGCTTTGGTGGTGCCCAACATGGGAAGAGACCAGGGGTTGCCTTGTCCCAGACACAGCTCCAGGTGGCTCCACAACAGCTCCATCCCTGGGCAAAGCTGAGCCCGTCAGGCACGGGTGTGGTGCTTCAATGCAAATGTATCTAAGGAAGGGCAGAAACCCTGGGCAGGGACAAGAGGAAGGAACACAGAAAAAGTGACTAGAGAGGAAAAAGGAACAGAGGGTTGAACAGAGGTAATGAAAAGGCCAGGGAAGGAGAAGGGCTCTGCAGAGGAGCAGAAACACCACTCAGAGGGACCCTGAGCTAGAGAGGATCCATGCTGGAGCAGCTACACCTCTTGAAGGGACTGTGGCCTAGGGACAAAGAAAATCCCAAGCCCATACCTCCATAAAGGGAATGCAGCTCACAAATATGCCCACACTAAAACACTGGTGATTGGTTTGGAGGGTATTTGGCCACTAGCTGAGGTCAACCCACCACACTTATTAAAAAATAAAATAGGTACATTCAAGTGATAAATGCATTTTAAAATGCTAAAAACTAGCATTTTAATTGAAGTTTAGAAAAAATCCAAGTAAACTAGGAAACTCACTTTGTTTACAGTAAGGGGATGGGAAGAAATGCCTTCCAATTCACAGCAGCTCACACATACTCTCAGAGTTCCCATTTTCCCTTTTCACAGCCCCAAAAAAGTAGAGGAAAAAGTGGCAGCCAGTTTTAAAATAATATCCTTTGCTAGCTATTTTAACTACTCCAATTCTTACCTGATATATAGGAGAACAGATGCATATAGATGTGAAGCAACAAAGCTAATTAACCTCAGACCTAAAATTGGAACTACATTTATCTTGTCACTCATCCACAGTGCCTAGCAACCCATTTTTTACAGAAATTAAAAGCTAACATGAGCTCTACTTCACTACTGAGTAACAGCTAAACTATTCTTCATTTACAGGTGCAAAACTATGAAAGAACTGACATCAGGAGGAAGAACTAACTGGTCTAAACCAGAAGTATTCTTACTATGTAAGGTATGGCCCTAAATTATTTAAGGCAACTACAACAGTCAATAGACAAAGCAATTTAACAGAGTTGTCCACTACTAGGTAATAGCCAGGGCACGTCAATTCTCCTTTTTGAAGCTACAGTTCATCTTGTCTTAACAAGTCATGAAAAAGCTTTTATTTAAAGCTCATACAAGCCTACAAGCCTTTCCTCCTGTTTTATTTAACATGATGCCAAACATTTCTAGTAATTGGATTATTACCTGCAAATGGCACTGGCAACAGCTGCACAATCCAAAAATTTAGCCAGATCTGAACAATGACAATGGCCCACACAAGAGTAACAAAGTAAATATCACTAGTTTTCTTTTTTCTAAGAAAAGATCCAATCTCAGTTCTTTGTCTGTTCCCAGAAGATGATGAAGAGGAGGTGCCGAAAGATGATGAAGCTCGTGGAGGTGGAGGCTGATCACTTTCTGCTGTTGATCCTAAAACAAACACATGCAAACAAAGAAATGGAAATTATCACATTAATATTCACCACAAAACAGAATATGTTCCCTATTCCCAAATTATCTCCTTTTTTTTTTTTGGAAGGTGGAGGTGAAGGAAGGGACAGCAGCAGAAGGTGTGTTTTTGTTGGTTTGGGGTTGGTTTTTTTCTTTTAATTTCTCTAAAAGACTGAGACAGCCTTGGCACTGATCTGCATTTTGAAAAGCTAGAACAAGGCTGTGTAAACTCTCCCACATCCTGCATCACCATGCCAAACAGTGCTGAGAGGAGGAGAGATGAGAAGTTGCTACAGCCTCTAAGAGGGCTCCTGTCCCTGCAAGTAAATTACAAGCCAAATATGTTTTATCAAAGAACCATAAGACTATGAAAAACACAAAATAAAATTAACTTCTAGAAAAAAATCTGAAGCCTTAAAATAAATCTTTCACTTCCCTTTACTTCAAGTACTTAAAAAGGAATCTTAGGAATCAATACTCATTTAAACAGAACAAAAAACATAGAGTATGCATTGAAGAGAAATCTTGTATCTTACAACTGTCTCACTGCTTTTCCAGATCATTCACAACACAAACATAGGAGCACTCACACCATCATCCTAAATTCCTTGCTCTGTGTAACAAATATTTGTAACATCAAGCACAAGTTAGTGGATAATTTTGTGGATTATTTATTGGAAAATTCAGTGGAAAATTTAGTGGATAAATTTTGTCAGTCTCTCACTCATAAGTTAGCTAACAAGAAATTAAATTCAAAAACGTAAACTGATGTGTTAAAGACCCTATACATAAACAATAATCTTTTCATGCAAAAATATTGTGTTCAAATTAAAATTTTTGGATGCAGAACATGCCTATTTATTTATTTATTTGATCCTTCAGTTGCTGGATGACACCAAATCCATCTTCAGCCACACTGTGTAAAATCTCTCCCTGAGAACAGCAGCAGCAGCTTTTACTGAGGCTCTGTGCTGTTGTCCAAATGCACACATTTCCCACATATCACCACTTGAGGAAAGTCTGCAGCAATAGTGTAGCAAGGCACACACAGAAAAACCTGAAAAGTTACTCTGTGCTGAAGCATAAAAGGCAATTTAACATGCTGGTACCTACCACACAGCTGGTAAACAATGAGCACAACTCTTTCACTGGACTTGTGCCACAGACACATCTTCTCCCATGCAGAAAAACTGCATAAAAACTGCACTACAGCATACTACATGGACAGAGTCAAACTGCTCGTGTTCCACACACATTTTTGGCTGCAGTGTGTCACCAAAACCATTCCTAGCCTAAAGCATGACAATTAAAATATTCAAAAAGGCAACACACATTTGTCATACAGTAAGAGTAAGTAACAAACTGCATCCTCACACAGCAGATGAACACTTCTCTTTTCTTGCAGAAACCTGGGCTGGTATTCTAGGTAAGTGGAACTACTTTTACAGCTTATGAACACATCCCCACCACACCAAAACAACAGTGCAAATCCATTGATTCACCCAGCTGGAATTGACACTGGATGACAGAAACATCAGATAGTTGCTGGTTATGTATTTGGTGGAACTCCAGAATATTCATGAAGGAACTATGGCATGCAACCTGAAAGAAGGAATTCTGCAAGCAGCCAAGCACAGCAGAAGCTTCAGGTGGGGAGGTTCTTGGCAAATCAGTGCATATCTCCAGGGGATGATGGCCAGCCCTACTCTACAACTACAAACAACTTTTTGTAAGGGGACAGAAAAAGTTACTGTAAACAGAAATTTTCTTAAAAAGACAAAGTATTTTTGTCATATGGAAGAGGGTCCATGAGTCCCCTGTACTTCTCAGTCTATATGTAATAAAGCAGAAGAGAACTAACAGAAACAAATGGATGCACTAAAGAAACACAAATTTGAAAGCAGTATACCCATAATAAAGAATTTTCCCCTTCAATTTATTCAACACTTCTTGTTCTGCTCCAAAGTTAATATAATCAACATAAGAAGCAATAATACAACAAGCAGAAACTCATATATTTATCAAACAAAAGGAAGCACCAAAAGCAAAACCAGAATCATTAGCTGAAGTCTATGCCTAAGATGAAAGTTATTCAATATTTTTTGCCCAAAAACTCCTTAGTAGAGTCAACCTTTGGGAAATAAAAGAGAACATTCCTTCTTTTTGTAATGAAAGATTTGATTGACATATTTTTGCAATGAAGAATGATTTAATCAAATAACAGCAACAGTAATGTTAAAAGCAGTAACAATTCAACAGGCTTATTTCTTAGAGTTTCCCTGTAAGCAGACTGTACACAGAACACAAAACAGAGGGGCAAGAGTTGAGGGAGTAAAAAAGGAAAAGAAAAAAAGAGGAAAAGAAAAAGGAAAAAGTTCTAGGGCATCCCAAGGCAAGAACTTTTTCAGAATGCAGTTATCCAGCAGTAAATAGTCACTCCCAATGACCCAGTACTCTCCTCATGACAAACACAGGCCTGCATCAGAACTGCCATTTAGATGACTCTCATAAACCAGTTCACAAAGCTGATCTGTCCAGAAAAGAACCAAAATTGCAAATGAAAAAAGTCACCTTCTGCTGGCAAGATATGCTCTGCAAACCAAGGTGTGAGTGCCTTGTCAACACAAAAAGAAAAACAGAACTGTCAGTACAGTGATTTTGAGTAACTTCAGTTTCTGTAAAATCCCATTTAGTGTGCTTCCTATTTTGTGAGATGAACCCTGAAAAACACCTTTCTATCTTCCAACTAATGAGAGCATGACAGTCTAAACAGCTAGCACAATACTCAGGAAAAAATTCTAGCAAAATCAGAATGAATGGTACTTCTCTGAACAGCAACAAAAAAAAGAACAAATTTTCCAGGCTGGCTTATTAAGATTTTCATTACACAGTATGTTCTCTGTCACATCAATTTCTGCTCTCACAGAATTTTGAATTATTCTCCCTTATTCTCCCAGCTTAAAAAAATTTTCATTTCCAAAATTAAAGACTGGACACAGAATTACAGGAGAGCTGTCACCATAATGCTCTGATCTCAAATTTCAGGATATAATTCCATTTATCATATCTAACCTATCCATAGGCTTCTATGTTTATATTGATGATAGTAATGTAAAATGTAGAAAAAAAGAGTAAGTTGTCTAAAGCTGCCATTTTTAGATTTAAAAATTAAGTTTTGGAAGTTCACATTCTGTCAAGATTAGTGATCTGTTTGGTTTGGTTTGCAGGAAATGGATGAAACTTTTCAATTTCCAGAGATCACAGTAATAGCTTAATTTTCTAGTATCACATTTCAAAGACTTACCCAAAAAAAAGATGGTAAAGTTTAAAATCATTGATGGACATGTAAACACTTTGTCTGAACTCTTAAGCCAAATGCCTTACACAAAGTGAAAGTATCATGTGACTCAAGCTACAAAGCCAAGTAAGCTCACTACAGGAAGGACTTTGAGCATGCCATATTTAAATTATTGGGTTTTTTCCTCACTGCAATGTACACAAAAATTCCTCCAGTCTGTCTGTACTTGGTCCAGAAATCCAGCTATGCAACATGTAACTGCCAACAAATCAAAGGCTAGAAAAATTAAAAGAATTAACTGAAGAACAGGAAAAAAATCACACCTTCAGTCTAAAAAAACTCACAAAACAGTAATAAACCCTTCTAGTCAGGTCTTTAACAGCCACATAAACTATCCTTTGCTAGCCAGCTTTTATACTAGCATCTTCTTGACATTTTTTTAAAAACAGATAAACCTGATTCACAATTTGGAAACTATTTTGAACAGAACGAAGAGGCTATTTTGAAATTTTATCTGAATTTCATCCATTTTCATGCCTTTAGAGCAAATTCAAATGTTTCTTACAGAGTATTCAGTCACCTGAGGGTTGGGAGGAATGTTCATTATTGGACTCATCTTCTGTCATTGAAATTGCCATAGCAATTGTTGAAGCAGCAATGGAAATCATCTGACCAGGAAGCTCAGCCCCTGTAAAATATATACATGCATGTGAGTAACAAAAAGCTTAAGCCTTAAAATGTTTTATTTGGTGTTAGATATCCACTGGAGCTGTCAGGCAGCAGAAATTATATGCACAAATGCTGTGAGTGTTTAGTATGTATTGTAGTAGTCAATATGATCAAACAGGAATGAGTGCTATTAATTTTTGTATTACAATACACCTGCAGCCAGAACTCAAAACCAGTTATTTGCTTAGTGCTTTTCTTGATAATGAACTTCTACCACCCAAGACATTCACAGTTGCTGACAGTCTAATTATTAAAAGAATTTTTGTACCAGTTAATCATCTTTACTAACCAACTAAAACAGCCAGACAGGAAAAAGGTTTCCTCCATCGGGAATTTATGATGCCTTTGCGTTTTTCAAAACTGACTTGCAACAGGAAAAAAAAGATTCTTCTTAAAATCTAAACACAAAACATATTTTTAAGAAACTTATTTAAAAACAAATGACTGGATATTGGAAACTTGCTGGATGGAGTTGTCTTGGTTTCTCTCATAGTCAGCATTATAGGAGCTACTAAACCCATATTGCTCATTTCTTTCAAAATTAGCCTCTGATTTCAAACATCCTGAGCTACCTTCATGCCTGAAATTGCATATTGAAATCCATAAACTCAAGGAATTTAGCTCAATAATGAGTCACTACTTTACCATGGAAACGAAACACCAGTCCATGGCAATCACTTTCTGCAAAAGAATCCAAGATTCACTTCAGCATGAGTAAACCACTCTGAAACACAATAAACATCCTATCGCAAACTCTTGCAATCCATATGCTATTGAATTTATGGGGATACAGTCCAGATTATTTCATGTGACTTAAGTGAATTTTTGCCTCCAACAGTAAAAGAAACAGTGACTTTTCCTTACCAGAAGACTCCTTTCCATTCTGCTGTTCATGCAACATGCCTACTGTCATCAGAACAACTATAACCAGAAATACAGGAATTCTCCAGGAACCTGCCACAGAAGCTGAAAGATACAGTATTGGGATTTTTTTTAACAAGAAAAATTACATCATTAATACACCCTACATTTAGCAAAACCAACAAAGGCAGCACATCAACCAAAAAACAAAGAAGTCATAAAACAAAAGGCTTTCTGCATTGAAGAAAAGGAAGAATAGAAAATAAACATGAACAAGTTTCTCAATGAACAAATCAAGCTGTTACTGTTCCTAACTTTAGTGACATTATGTTGATATACAGAACAATTTTGAAAACAACATTCAAAATCACATGAAAATACACACAGAATTAAAACATTTTTGATAACATAGAAAAGTCATGTTCCCCCCAAAAATGTGTATTTATGTTAGATCTCCACAGAATTGGATTTTTCTTGGATTTTGCCTATTCAGCCTGTACTACCAGTAAATACAAGACTGTCAAAATCTAGGCAAATGCGAAGTCCCTACATATAGCTTAAACCTCAGGGAAGCATACCCACATGGTCACAACAACCCTTGAAACCTGCTGCTAAAGTAAAGTAAATCATGAGGTACACTGTGAAACCTTCTTTCATGGTATTCTTCTATTAACTGCATGATTCTTCCACCATAAACTCTGATATGAGAACATCTATTATATTAAATGTGTAACATAAATCTAAAAGATTACTATAATCTTATAGTAGTATTAACAGATTATAGAGATTACTAGCAAATGTATTTTATACTGCTGATATCATCCTGATATGCTTGTTGACTACTGATAGAATTTTTTTTTTTTTTGCTTCTGATACTACTATTAAACACATTTTGCAGCTTCAGCCTTGGTTAATGGCGGGCTTTCAAAAAAATATCACAAATGAATGTCTAAAGCCAGCCTCATGTGACCCCAGCCTTTCCTCATTGTCAAGAAGTTCACATTGTCTGTGAACCAAAAAGGGGAAATCATGGGAAGTACAAAGGTATGAGGAGTGGAAGACATAGCTCAGCATCTTGATGCCTTCCCATTCCCTACTCTAATGCTCCCTTCTGGATCACAATTACTGAGCAGACAAAACAGTTTGCATTTCAGCTAAGAGTCTATTTCACAGATTTAGCAGAGGAGCAAGTGAGGAGCTTTGTTTACAGAACCCTCAGTTATCAGAATAATAACTTCTTGTTACTCACCTAAGTGAAAGAGCAGCATAATCCAGACAGGAACAGAGACTGCTTTTAAGTAACGTTCAGTGCTTATATTCCACTTGAATGAAACCATCAGCAGGTAACCAACTACCAGTGTCCATATCTTTAAGAAAAAGATACACATAGGTATGTATACATATATCAAAAGAGAGATCTACTGCACTCATGTATGTGTGCACACTCATGCCCACACCCATAACTGTCACAGACAGAGAACTGAAGTCAGCTTGCAAGCCTTTAAGAAGCCCCCATTTCAATTAATTATTTGAGTTCATTAGCAGCACCTATGTGGCCACAGGGAGACAGAGCTGGGCAGCACAGCATGCTGCACTCATTCCAGCATGGAGCAATTTGCCAGCTCCTGTGTTTCAGTCCAAAGAGACAAAAGAGAGCTTAAGCCAAAGAAGCCATTAGGAAGCACAACAAAAACTGCTGCTCCTCAGTGGTGCCGGTTCACAAAACAGATGCCTTTAGAGGACATGTCATTTTTCATTTTTTTAACTAAAAAAACCAAAGACAGGAAGACATCAGTGACAACCTGGGTTTGCTGCTTCTAACCGCCTTCTACCACTCTACTCATCAGATAAATCACAATAGATTTGGAGTTAAGAATCTTGAGATGATGAATTTGAGCTAAAAAAAAGAAGGAAGCAGGAAGAGGTAACAGAAGATGAAAAGCTGCTACTCAAGAGAGGATGTGAAATAAAAGAAGTACAAATACCTGTAAAAATTAAAACCCAGTGTTTCATTCTTTAAATAAATAACTGAAGACCTTTCTCACTCAAATTCAATGAACATTCCGTATCCATTACAGTTAAGTACATCTTAAAATTTACACTTATAAATCCATAAATTCCAATTAAGTTTGAATAGAATTTCTATTAAGAGAATTTGCTGAATCAGACATCACTGTAAGAAGGAAGAATGCACAGGCAGAGACACAGAACAAGCAATTAGGAAGAACACACGAGGAGTTTTCACCTCTACTCTGCACTATACAACTCATGCTGAAAACACAAGTCTCTGAAAAGCAGGTTTGAGTGGCTACTGCCACATACCTAACTGGTGGAGAGGAAATCTTAGCTGTACTGAATTGAGCAGACAAGCAGTGAGTCATGTCCCTGATAACTTCAGTGGGAATGACTGAATATACAAGATTATTTAAAATCACTTAAGATATGTGAACAAAGGTATACCTGCCCTTTGCACACTAATGCTCATCTAAGCAGATCACTCCAACTTTTCACTTGTTTCTAGTTTTGCATCAACAGAGTTCCATAATGCTTATGGCCAACTGCAGACTCAAAATAAATGTCTAAAACTAACACAACCCATGAACATCAAGACTAAAGTCACAAACAAACAGAAATTTTTACCAGAAATGCACGGTAGCACTTCTTTAATAGGTTGAAACATAAATTCACTCAAAGGGCACTTCACAGCCCAGCTCTAATTGCAAGAGATAACTCATCACAGAGATACTATCCCACTCCCTAACATAAGCCATACAGCACCTCTGTACGATGAACGTTCCAGTTCCAAGCAGATTTTCTCATTAGCTTTTAAATTTAATGATACATTACAAACAGGAGACTCAGTGTGTTCAGTAATTTAAACTTTCTGTTCAAAAACAAGTAGGAGGCTAACAGGGTATAAGCCTATGTTTAACAGCCAACAAAGCAAAACACACCACACTGGTTGTATCCATGCATGTAGCTGAACATTACAGGGCTTAGGTATTTAATAATTTGTGTTTGAAATTAAAAAATTAATCAGTTATCATTTCTAAAAGCCTAGCAAATGATCAAAGTTGAAATCTTTATTTCCACTGAATAGAGAGAAATTGCTTACTTCTAAATAAATCAGTCACCCTTTTTGAGAGATCAAACAATAACCTTCCTGAAGCTCTGTAACAAGAACTGTGTAGTCAACTGACTGGGGCAAGAAGTTTAATTTCAGTGACACCACAGAATAATCAGCTCTTTATTGCTATGGCCAAGCACATCCCTGGACTGCAAGAACCAGTGCACAGGAACTAGGGTAGCCTACTTCCAACAGTTCATAGCTGAAAGCGACTGACAAGTCAAATTAATTTAAATTGACATGGACTAGGATTTCATCTCATACTGACTTGGCAACAGCATACTTTTTTCTTTTCCTTAACCCTTTAAAAGCGTGTTACATAATCCTTCCCATTGTTTTTCTGGATGGTCTCCAAAAGTTTTGGCTTGAAAAGCATGGAGAATATTAATAGCCTCTCTCTATTATATGTCATTCTCAAAAACTGACATAATTGAAACAAAGAATGAAAGACTGCCTACTTTCACTAAAATTAAGCTACTGCAATTATTGCACTGAAACTGTAATTGATAAGGTTCCATGCTAGGACAAAATGCCTATAAATTTAATTTACAAGGGTGTACAGCTAACCAGGTAACTAATACATACACTTCAGATTTTGCAGAACGTGTTAGCTATCATCAACTATTTATCAAGCTGAAATCAATTGCAGACCCTAACTTTCACCATGTACTCTGAGATGTTAAATCACTCCTTAATCACAATTATTATTTACAGGCATGCACAACTTCCATACATTGCAACTTTGGGATAGTTTAATCCTGCAAGCTGCCCTTCTTCCTTCCCTTGCCTATCTTAACAGACGGCCAAGACCTCATTTTTCACATCTACTTTGCATTTTGTAACATCTGTCACAAACTGAACTAAGTGTTGCTTTGCCTTTAGACATGTAAAACTGCCCACTTTTCCCAATAAATAGTGCTAAGACTGCAGAGTAACTTCTTGGATTTTAGCATCCATTTCTGTGTTAAAGTGGCAAATTTAAGAGGCAGATTTAGAGACATCTAAGGCGACTATGAAGGGCTTTAGTTCTCTTTAAATTGCCAACTAGAGACAAAATGACACCACAGAAAGATGCAACTTTTACGTAAAACTCAAGCATCTGCTTCAGTGATTTTTCTTTGAAATTTCAGTGCTGGAAAGTCAAGGATTTATCAGCATGAAGTATCACGAACATTACTGAAAGTTTGTTTCTCCTTGCTGTTGAAGAAATTGAAGTTGAAGGATTTGAAAATCAGAGCCACTCTTTTGGCTTCGATCTCATTTCTCAAGAACAAACTCTAACTACTTAACTTTTGACAATATTTATACTGATTTATGTTGGAGAGTAAAATTCCTTATTTACACAATTCACTCCCCTTTTTCCTATCAGGAAGTTAACCTCTGTGGGGAAGGTTTTGCAGACGAGTGCATTCAACAGCTCACTGCTACTGGAAGTGGCAACTCATTATCCCCTGCTGCCAGCTGGGCAGTCCCACCTCTTCTGCACAACACTTCAACATTCATCCAGCCAGCTCAAGATCCCTAAGCTCATAAAAAACTACCTGTAATTCAGTTACAGCAAAATAGGCTCAGAATATGGCAGGCACTAACAAAAGAGCAACAGAAGCACATGCAGAAGTGGAATAGGCAAGAAGAGCTTCCCACTGCAAAGCTATTGGAACGATTTAGTCTTCCTTGGAATGCTGCCCCAACACCTCAACATCCAGCAGCAAACACATTTCCCACCTGCTTCATGTGCCTTCTCAGGCACATGTGGTTGTGACAGCCTGGTCAGAGAGAGAAAGCCAGATAAACTTTCCCAGGAATTGCTCTGGGAAAAGGTATGAGAAGTTTAGAGAAAAGAATTCAAACAAATCTTATCTTAAGGCTCTGCAGCTGGTGTTCTGAACAGTTGTTTCTCATTAGATGTTTACCACAGGGTGGTTTCTTAATTAGCCAATGGTGACAGTGTTTTAATTACAGGACCAATCAGGTTCATTTGCATCGGAACCGTGTATAAAAAGAATGGACTTCCTAATAAAATTATTATTAGCCTTCTGGAGCCCTAGAGTCTATGTGCCACTCATTCACCCGTTCCTGACCCAACAGTGACAGGCACACCATATGATTCTTGGGGTGGTCCTGTGCAGGGCCAGGAGTAGGACTTCAGTGATCCACCTGGGTCCCTTCCAACTCAGGATATTCCACGATTCTATAAACCATCTCACAAGTAAACACAACAGTGAAGACTGAGAAGATGAACCAATAGTTAATTCTTCTGATACACGCCTGGCCAACCTGCCAAAATTCCTCAGCTTGTAACAATTCAGCACCTAGAAAACAGTCTGAACTCCTTCCTTCTCTTAATGTAGCTCTACTCTCTCCTGTGGCCATTTTGAAATGATGTTTTCTTCCCTGGCTGCTCTTTCCCACTTTTTAAGAGTTTTTAAGAGTTTGATTTAAGTTTTGGTTTGTTTGGGGGATTTTAACTGATCTTTAAATTTAAAACTGTTTGATGGAGCTACAGATCTAATTCAAATTGCTTTCTATTTTTCAGTCTCAGTTTTTTTGCAGGGGGTGGGGAAGAAAAAAAAAAAGGCCAAACTATCTCATCAGTTCCCCTTAATATTTTAAAATTTTTCATTTGGAAATAAAGATTTTCATTAGTTTTTCTCAAAATAAAAAATAATTTAAAACATGACCAAGCATTAACACAGCACTTTTGCAAACTTTTAAAACAGCACTGCAGAGTCAAGATAGTTTAAAGAGGTGATCTTATGACATCAGTTCACTATTTCTACAACACCCTCCTCAGTGGTGATGCAGGCTGACAATGAAAACGAACCTATCACAAAAGCTGAGCAGAAGAGTGCTGGACTTGAAAAATGAAATTACATAAGGCATATAAGGCATTAAATTCACTGCTAAAAACCAAACTGTGTTTGCCTTCAAAAGAAAAATAAAAAATCAGTGTTTTCTTTATCTGCCTGTTCATCTGAAAATTATTTTCTAAACAACATAAAGAATTATAAGGAGGCAGGTAACAAATTATGAAGATGACATTTTGACTCCAGTTTTCAGAAGCAAAATTAATTTACTGTAGCTTTAGTGCAGTTTCATTAGCACACAAGAGGAAACACCCCATAATGTGCAGAATAAGTGTGTAACTGCCTGCCCTTTAGTAAGGAGACAGCCTTTATCAAACATAAGAAAATACCCAAACTGCAACTAATCACACATGTAAGACTATTTTTCACCTCAGAGCACAGACAAGCACCTCCTCCCTTCACTTAGGAGGCCTTCATTTACCTAGAGCAGGTTCTAAGTGGACACAAATTCCTTGCCCCAAGTCCAAAGGACTTGAACTGTGTGCCCATTCTGTTTCTTCTAGAACCCCCAAACGTGACATATATCCACGCTGGTATTTCTGGCATTAAAAAAACACAGACTAGTAAACCACATGAAACAGAAACATGGTGTTTAGTGAGATCGCTCATTTCTGAAGGGATGAAAGTATGAACTTATAACTAGAACCCTGGGGCAGGGAGAAATTGACGATTAAAATAACACTGCCACACATGGGCTGAAAATTATTTTCAATGTGTCCTGCAACATCTCCTACACTGAATTTAAGAAGAAAACATAAAACCTAAGATACCCAGAAGACTGAAGCAATGGATGTTGAGAATACTTCTCATTTAGTTCACTCTTCCTGTCTTAATACAAAAGCTACTTATGAGAAACTAGTAATAAAAATGCTATTCAGAAATCAAATGTATTAAGATTCTCTTGCAAAAAGAGGCTTCTCAGAGAACATCAAATTCTTTCCTTGCAGACAGAGCACCACTTCTCTGACATACTTCATGGGTAACACTTTTGCAAGAGATGGCTCCTCAACATACACAATTTCTTCACCTTCTTTTATTATATAGAGCACAGTTAAAATTTTGCAGGACAGTTCCATAACGATCATTCCTTTCAGAGATGCTGGATAAAGAAACATCATTGTGTTCATCCAGTACATATAAATACCAGTAAATAGCTAATATTACGTAGCATGTATCATTAGCCTTTAGGCTACTGCCAGCTCTGAGGCTGTAGTTCCTGCATGTAAATTGGAACAAGCTCCTTGGCTTCTCCAAGAAAGGTATCTCACTGCAGGCTCTTCCAAAACTGAGGGTGGGTGTGGAAGGCAAAAACAACAGTAGAAAACACTATCAACATCCCAGACTCTCCCTGCCTCTCCCCATCTTGTTTTTCAACAGGCCACATGTGGTCTCTACACAGTTTATCTCTACCACACAAAGTTGTGAAAACACACCAAAATCTGTGGTTTTGGTAAGATGTGTTTACGGTCAGTACTTGGCTGTATCATTTATAAGCCAGGATACCATAATACTAAAGGATAATAAACAGCAGAAAGAATACTCAAGAGTTTGTTCAGGCATTTGTTTTGGTTTTGGGGTTTTTTTTAAGGTGGGAAAGTTTTAGAAACGTGCAAGATTGCTCTAAGAAGAAAGGGAAGGAAAAAAAAGCCTACCGATGCTAAATCCTCAAAGAAATAGAAATTGTACGCACATTAAAAATCAGAAGTGTGCCCTTTTCTTTAACAGAAGAGAAATTGCCCCATCAGGTGAACTCAATAAAACATAGATGGTTTTTTGCCCCCACAGGTGATATTCAATAGGACTGTAGAAGACAAACATGAAGAGCATGAAGCCAAACAGAGCATGAAGAATGTTTGGAGAATTTCAGTCTGCAAGGGCTGCTGGGGGGTGACATTTAGTACAACACAAATGGAGGTTTCCCGGGTGGATGTCTTGCACAGAACCCCTGATGGGGGGCAGACAGTACACCAGCCATAAGAGGCAGCATGTACTCTGACAATATTCCACTCCAGCAGTCATGGCAATGGTGGGCAATGGCGTTTCCAGATCTGCCCAGCACCCTGGTGAGGATAAGACTGATTAGGTGCTCTAACTGCATGGAAACCCCCAGAACAACACCAGTTATACCTCATACAGTCAGAGATATAAAAATACACTGACACACACATGTGACTACACTGTTGTGAGCCTGCAATAACCTATGACAAACCAAGGAAGAAAGACTGGCCAGAGAGAAAGATTTCAACAGCCCTGTAATCAAGTCCACTACAGAAGATTCTGTTCATTATGATTAGATCAAATTTAATTTACGAAGATGAACCTCAGAGCCAACACAGAGCAGCTGTATAATTCTTAACATCTGCTGGGATCCACAAACTATCTGTTTCCCAAATAAATATGAGCATGTAAATTCTTCTTCTTCAAAACCAGAAGAAAATATAATGAATAGCTGGAATCGGATATATATTAACTTAAGTGTAAAACATCAGCCTAAAGTAGGTTGAACTCTTGCCACAAAGCAAAAGAATTTGGTTTTTAGATACAGTGCTGGACATAGGCATAGCTCCTGCAAAACTAATGAAATTGCTGCAGCCCAAGAGAGTGTAGGACTATACTCAGTCCACTACAGGACAAACTCACATCCTTCCCAAGAAAAAAACTATAGAGAAAAACATTCCCCTTCCCTATTATATGAAACTGCTGTTTGTGCAGGGCCCTCTGCATAAGAATTCTGCAAATAACCAAAAGAAGGCTGGAGTCAGAACAAGGAACTCATCTGGAATTTTTAATCAGCCTCTAATTTAAGGCCCAGCAGCCAACTACACTTTTTGAGCAAGCTTCTTCAAAGATTATAAAGCCTGAAGGGAAAGAAAAGGAGACCTTGGGAGCACGATGCTTGTAGACTAGCCTAAGATCTTGAACTTGCTCTCCAAATGCAGTGTTTTGCAAGCAGCTATCAAACAATCCAGTCATGGAAGTACCCAAATTCCTGAACTGCAGGTGTGACTTAAGAGCCACGGATGGGAACACAGGCACTTCTGAATCTTGACTCACAAACGCCATGAATGGCTTTGCCAGATGTGAGGACAGCAGGACAGGAAAGCTCTTTAACACACTGGTGCCAAGATACACCTTACCATGTCATTGCCACATGCAATTTCTGCATTTAAAGAACTTTCTTTTTTTCTAGAACTTAAGAGGAGAGTTTCTGTCTCAGTATCATGGCCTAGTAGATACCATAAAAATACCTTTAGTTAGAGAATAACCAATCAGTATTCCAAATGCCCATAATTCTAATGGGAGGCATCCACTCACTTCTCTAGCACAGGAGAGAGAATCAGAAAGAGAGAAGACAATCATGCATACAGAAGGAACCATGGAGGATTCAGAGCCCAGAGAATAACAGTACAATGGAGAAACCAACTCGTAATATCCCAAATTCCTGTGCAGCTAACAAGCAGAACATATGCATGCAAACGGAGCCCTGCAATATAACACAGCAATTAAATGGCTTTTAAAGTGCTTAACTGAAGTTAAAACTGGCACTATTAACTGATCCAGCTCAGGGCTCCTCAGCAGCATGGATAAAATTAAATTACCCTGCTACAGTTCTGAGATAATACACATCAAGCACTGCAAAATTAAAAAAAAACTGGACTAAGAAAACACTGCAAAGTGTACAGATGATGCCAGACTGAGCAGCAGCTATTTACAAAGGAAAGCCCACAATTTTTTTCTCCTATAAGGCCCAGAAAGAGACACAGACAGCTTGCCTAGAAAGCAACTGGTTTGCTTAAGGAACTCTGTGATCAGTTACCTTGACACAAAAATCCTCCCAAGTAACTCAGGTCTGAAGAGTTCTGGGAGCTTACTATGCTTTGTGCAGTTAATTTTCTACTACAGTTCAATGAACACAAGTGTTAAATCAGAAACACCAGAAGGATCGGAGACTGCTAAACAAGGTTTCACTGAGCAGGCACAGATATCCAGCAGTGCATTACAGCCACAGTTACAAACCTCAATAAGTGCAGCTTCCTTCAGTACCCTTATATTTACACAGCATAAAGTATGGCTTAATTAAGAAACTTTTAATAAAAGCCTGGACTTAGCCACATCAGTTAGTGCAGCAATATTATATATTTGTTAAAAATAAAACAAAGAGGTCAGTGCAAAAAAAAATCTTAAAAAAATTTTAAGCTTACCAAGCAAATTGTGTGGCAACAAGTCAAAGCTTCCTACTAGTACCAGGCCATGCTTCAGCTCTGTTACTACTCAGCTGAAAGTAAACATGGTAGTATCTTGCCTCTTTATAAAGAGAGAATGTATCTCTGTCTACTTAGTCCTAATTGTACTTCTGAGGACAAAACAGACCAGAAACACATGTCCTCTGATATCTTCCAGCACCAAATAAAGTCAAGAAAATCTTTTCCTCCAGTGTTTACTTTCAAGAGGCTAAACACATTCTCCTGTCCATTCTATTCACACTAGAGGCAGCCTGTCAAAATATTTTCTGTCAGTCCATTCAGCAGCACTGATACCTAGGGAAAAGGCACACTTTTTTTGTTTAAAAGACAGAGCCACTTTTGAAAAGTCTTTGACACTTAAGAAATCTGAGCATGCCAGTTGCACATTAGTATTTAACAAAAGTACAACTTACTGATCTGATCTTTCACATATCCATTTGCTTCTGATATGTAGCACTTTTTGTATTTTCAGTTATAAGTAACAAAGTGTAAAAGAGCTCTGCCAGAAGTTCTAACTATGCTACCTACTGAACAGAAGACAGGGAAAAGTAGTCTCCCAGGATTTGTTAGCATCAGTAACATTCCTAAGTTAAACTGCTTTACTTTTTAAAGCTCAAATTGCCTTTACACTGTTTGATACGCTAAGAAAAAGGAAACCCTACACAGCAGACAGAGAAATAAGCCTTAAGGCGCCTTCCCCCATCCCGGGTCACTTGTAGAGCTGCGCTGCTATTTCGCAACACTTTAACACACACCTCAGATATCTCAACAAGCCTGGATGTTTACCCAAGAGCTCGCCTGAATCACCTCTGCCTAAACAGCATCTCCAGCAGCGGGGCATGCCTAAATCGCGGCAGCGGCACACCGGCACTCCCTCACTCACCCACTGGCTGCTGAAGTAGTCGAGCCCCTGGCAGATGATGCGGGCGGCCTGTGCCAGCAGCACCTGCACGCCCAGCGAGCTGCCCAGGCAGTAGAGCCCGTAGAGCAGCGGGCCCCCGGCGCCCAGCAGCAGCAGGAGCCGCCGCCGCCGCAGCACCTGCTCGCCCAGCGCCTCCACGCCGTAGTTGGCGAAGCAGATGGGCAGCAGGAGGGCGGCCAGCAGCACCGGCGTGCGGGAGCGGTGCAGGCGGCCCAGCCAGCGCCGCCCCAGCGCCGTCAGCGAGGTCTTGAAGGGGTGCAGGAAGGTTCCGCAGAGCACGGCCCAGAGCAGCGGCCGCAGGAACGCCTCCAGGATGAAGTACACGAGGACGGCGGCGCCGCAACACAGCCCCGCGAACAGAAGCGCCCCGGTGTTGTAGAAGGCCTGCTTGATCGGCTTCTCCAGCCGCGGCAGCGACATTCCCGCCGCCCCACCCTGGCCGCCCAGCGGCAGCCGCGGCATGGCCGCGCCCGCTCCGGGGGAGCCGCCCGCCCGCCGCTCCTGCACCGGCGAACCCGGAGCGGCCGCGGCGGGACCCGCGTCCGGAGCCGCGGCGGGAGCGGCGTCGGGAGCCGCGGGCTCTGCGCTGTCAGCCATGGCGGGCACGGGCACGGCCGCCGCGGGCGGGCGCGGAGCGGGGCCGGAGTGCCCGGGCGGTCGTGCCCGAGGGCGCGCAGGGGCCCTGGGCTGTAGTGCCGCCGCCGCGCGGCTCCGGGCGTGCGCCCAGCCCGGCGGGAAAGGGGCGGCGCCGGCCGGGAAGCGAGCTGGGAAATGTAGTTCTGCTCCGGGAGAGCGGCAGCCGCCCTCCCTACGCCCGGCAGGAGCTGCGGGGCTGTGCCCGGGCCCTGAGCCTGCCCCGTCCCCGCCGAGCGCGGGCCCAGCGCCTTTGTGGCGTCCGCTGAGGAAGGCGGTCAAAGGCTGGGGCACGGAAGAGTCCCGCCGCTCCCCATCCCAAAGTGCAGCCCTGTCCTGCTTCGCTGAACGCTCTGCTCTGCCTACTGCTGCTGCAGTCTCGGGGAGCGGAACAACTTCGGAGATCCGGAGTATCATTGCATGCTGGAGAGCAAGACTGGTTGGACCAGCTGGAGCATTTCGTCTGAGCATGTTCTGGCAACAAATTGTTTAACAAGGAAGCGTCTGCTCTTTTACTGGAAGTCAGGCCCACTGAAGAAGTAGTTGTGCTGTGTGGTTTTTTAGAGCTGACACTATGGCAGTGGTTTTTTAGACCTGACATTTATGACACTGTACCATCACATGCTATTTGCAAATAATCTAGAGAGGAGCTAACTTCCTGCAGCTGGCATACACCAAACACCTGAGCGCGGGCATGAAGGCAACTGCTAACATTCTGCAAATGGTCTAAATGCATCTGTAATAAATACACATGGTCTGGGCAACTCTTGCAAGGGCCAAAATTCATGACATTTGAACTAGCTCAGTGCTGGCACTGTGCTACTCAGTTTTCCTTCCATGGCTTAAGAAAACCCTTCAGAAGGTACTAAAGCTATTGGTAATGCTGCCATAAAACCCTCAGAGAGATCTTCCCCTTTCTTTTCAAGCTTATCCTCTAAATCATAATAAAGAGATCACATGCCACTGAACATATAAAAAGTACACAGATATTAAAAAAACAAGGAAAATAATAAAATCTCTGTATTTTTAGAATTTTACATGCAAGTTTAACATTACGTAACTTCATATTAGATTGGAGTCCATGAGGACTTTAGTGGAGCATTTCTTCCATGATGGAGATGTTAAAAAGCTGAAATTATCCTAAGCACAATTGTCTTAAACTTGTAAAGTGGGAATTCTACATCAATTCATATCTAGCTCTTAAATGCAGAGCAGTACCAAGACAATGGCTAGATGTGACCTATCCCTATCACAATACCAAGGGTGAAAGGGAGAGGTTTTTCCACACCCTTCCTGTGACTATGTTGCATCCTGAAGCTGTGGGTGAGGCTGGGCCCAAGCCAGTTTTTGACGTTTGGCACTGCAGTCCTGACTTGTCCCTGCAAAGCCTTTCCTGCCAGTTATGCAGAAGTTTACACTTGTAAAGGTTCCTCTAAGCTCCTGCAGCTCCTTGTTTTCCCTCTGCTGAATAGATCACGTGTAGGTTCCACAAAGTATTTTAATTTTATGCCATGAAAGCACTTACAAACCTACAGGCACTTTGTTTGATCCTGATGAGGCATTACAAGCAGTTGTCCATACAAGAAGCTTTCATTGAACCTTAAACTGATACTGTCACTCACAGCTCTTTGATCAGATAGATCTGCCTCCTGGCAGGGTGCTGAAGGAGGTAACAAGAATGCGTCATTACCTGAACTTTTCTCTTTAGTTCAGAAGCCAAACTCTAATTGCTCATTACAATACCTTTATTGCATCAAAGTTCAATTAGCAAGTGTCAATTAAGATTTACAGGGGGAGCCCGGGGAATTCTAATCCTTCTGTTAGCCTGAGATGCCAGCAAATCAAATCTTCATTGGCGCATCTTTATTCCTTTGATTTTTCTTAACAGACTCAGTCAGCCATGTTCTGCAGGAACAGAAATTAATGCCACCTCCTTGACTTGACTCAAGCTATAAATATTGTTTTACATAAGCCAAGGATCTGGTCCCTACTGTTTAAGACCTTTCCTTTCCAATTACGCTTTCCACTCTCTGTTTTAAACAACTAAAAATATTAGAAAGGGGAAAAAACACAACAATGCAATAAAATAAAGATTTCCAATTAATGTATCACCACATCAGGATTACTTAAGAACAGGGACATGACCCACAAGCGTAACAGAAAACAATCTCTAAATCTTTGACAGCTGAGGGGAGGATATGTGATTTTCACAAGACACACCCCAGCATCTAAAGCTTAACTCCACAACAGATTTCAAATAGCAACTTCACAGCTGGTTTTGCCTAAGATTTGAAATGCTAAGAGATTTTAGATTACATGTCCATAACTTGCACAGATACATTTGATTTAGGCATTTTAATGGTCAAAGATAAATAGCACACCTCAGGCTCCTACACTGCCAGAAATTCTACAACAATCTCTTTGATTATAATTTTCCAATTAGGAAATCTTCAAGGGAAAAGAGGGCAGCAAAAGAATGTTTTCACATCCGTGGAGAAAATACATATGCACCTGAAAGTACACGTGATAAGTATTGATAGTCTTTGGTGCTCTCCTAATACCTAAAATCAGGTATTAATTAGTAAAAGAGAAACTTGTAACTTCTGTCTGCTTCCATACTAGCACCCACGATTTTGTGCTCTGAACTGACACCTTTTGAGTCGTGTTCAAGAGGTCAGAGACATCTCTAGCTCTTTATTCACTCAATGTGCAGAACTTTGGTCAACACAGACTAAAGTTCCAAGCTGTTTTACACATGATACCAAAATACTGGGTGCTGAGGCGGCCACAAAGCAGAGGAGATAGACAATGCCAGCAACTGCAAGCTAATCATTATTTACAACCAAAATAACCACATGGAGCTATGAAATAAGTCAGGAACAAAGCCACAAGGTGTCAGCACTGGCCTGTGCATTTAGAAAATAACTATCCCTGCATGAGACACTATTTGTTTTAATCTGTGTTACTGAGCATTTGCAAACATTCAGTTGAGGCTAATCTTGCTTCATAAATTGTCCTCAATTTAATGATAAAGTAATACCATCTTCAGATCAATGAAAAATACCTAATGTAAACTATTATAGTTTCACTAGTACCAGAAGCAAAGGAAAAAAAAAGTTAAAGTCAATGATTTAAGATACAACATTTGCATCTTCAGGTCATCTGCATATATCTTTGCATTTTGGGCTAATGAAAAAATTATTATTTTATGCAGCTCAACTGCTAAGATGAGAAGGCTCCAAATTAAATGTCATTTACAAAACATTGGTGAAAATGAAAACAAATCCTTGGGAACACCATGTCTGATTGCACCCAGTGATTATAGCCTGACTTTATTGCAGAAACAACTTTGTTCAAACTTTGTTCAACATCTCAGTTAAAGTGTACAAAATTATCAGCAGAGCGACTCTTGAATGATTCACACAGAAGACTGAATCTTGTTCCGTTAACAAGGGGAACGAAATGCATGGTTGTAAGGCAGAGTGGTCAATAGCACCGACACAAAAGTGTTCAATCACTGGAAAAAGCATGCAAAACAGCAGCAGTAGGACTGTGGATGGACAAAATCCAGAGCACTAACTTTCATGGTTATTCCACATGATAACTGTGTGCACAGAACATGAGCTGGATATACAGAGATTTGAGTAACAGAGGAATGTTTGGGATCCATCAGGTTTTGTGACAAATTCCTCACCAGTCCATCAGCTGTCACATAATGCAAGACAAACAGAATATAATTTAAATAGATTTGGTACATGTAATGCCTCTACTGATCATGATGCCTTGGACAGTGCACAAGTAGCTGACACACACAAGATCCATCCTTTCTTGCAGCCTGCAGCTACAGGCTTGCAATAATACTACAAACACATCAAACAGATCACACAGTGTAAAAGCAATACATTTCTTGTTGCTCTGAGCCAACTCTTCTTCCCAGTCCAACAGTAAGGAGGAGTAAGGAGCTGAAATACCTGCTGAAACCTTAACAATTTCAGAAATTGAAGCATCCCTGTTTGAGAGATTAATACGGCTACTTTTGCTTGCTAAGTATCATGGCACTTCCTCGTCTTTGTTGCCAGTTTCTAATATACTTTCATTTACTTCTTTTCTGCAAAAGCCTGTTCTGGCTGCTTCAGAAGCCATTCTGGCCGAGGAACAGGGCAGTGATGACAGTAGATAAAGAATATCCAATTTGTAATATTGCAACTTGATCATATTTGTATCAAATAGTTACAAAAACACAGCACAGAGGTCAGCACAGGAACCTCTAAATTCTACATACTTATAGCAATTGACAATGTGGTTAATACTTTGTTGAAACAGAAATGATCACATTCACTTACAGTTTCATTGTGATTTGCATAGTGGAAAAAAAAAAGGCAGTCTTCTCACATCTGTTAATTTGCTAATGACAGCCTCACTGACTTAAATGGAATTAGGCTAACAAATTCAAGACCATGGCATGGGAAGGAATTATTAACACAGACAGCGCAGAGAGTTCTTTAACCTCATGGAGACTTTTTTCCCCCTTTATAAATGCCATACACACATTTTCTTAGACTAAAAAGGCATTTATTGCAACAGTTTTATAAATATCATTGTCTGTCACTGTCAAATAGCTAACAAGGCTTACTTGAACACCAACATTTAGTATAAAACAGATGTTACAAAGCAATACTTTAGGGCATGCACGGATTGTAAAGTAGTCCCATAGGTCACTGTAATTTCATTATCTATTCACTCAGTGTTATTTTTGCTGAAAAGACTAGAGCACAAAGAAGTTTGGCAAATTCTTCTGGATTACAAAACCTCCATTCTGCACTCCTATCCAACCAAATGCTCATTGACTTCACATGGCTGCTGGGTGTTGGCATACAGAATGAAGCCTGGCATAGAGAATGCAGAACACCACTTAACACTATAGTTACAAGTTTCTTATTTGTATGTTTTATCTGTATATTTGT